TTAAATAGCCAATTCTTAACCATGCTCTTGTCACTAATTTAAAATACCGTTTTTGTCATAAGCAAAATTCCTATGCATATGGAGGTCTATTTCTGGCTCTAAACCAGAAGTTAACAAACATTTCAGGTAAAGGGCCATGTAGTGAATTATCACAACCATTCAACTCTGCCCTGGAGCACAAAAGCAGCCACAGAAAATGTGTAAATAGGGTGTCCTCTGGGTGGCTCAGCAGTTGAGCTTCTGCCTTTGGTTCAGGGCATGATCCCGGGTCTGGATCGAGTACCACACATCAGGCTCCCTGCGTGGAGCCTGCTTCTCCCTCTGCCTACGTCTCTGCTTCCCTGTCTCTCATGAATAAATAAATGAAAAAAAAAAAAAGGAAATGTGTAAATGAGTGAGCATAGTTGTATTCCAATGGATACTGAAAGTTGAACTACCTATAATTAATCTCACAAAGTATTATTCTTCTTTTGTTTTCATTTTTTGTTTTCAAGCACTTAAAAATATAAAAGCCACTCCACTCTTAGGTCACAGGTCATACTAAATATAGGTGGCCAGTCATATTTGGCAATTCATCGTCTGAATCTTTACATTTTTGTATACTTAAATTTTTTTACATTTCTAAAATTCCACAAAATAAATACACAAGGGAAAAAAGTTAAATATAAGGGTTTATAAAGGGAAACTTCTTCCTTCTAGCCCAGAGGCCCAGGTCTCTTCACCAGTTTTCGTGTATCCTTCCAAATCTACTGCCACTATATTAAACATCCCAGCATAACATGTGGAACCATGTTATTTCACCTATAGAATAAATTTCTGAAAATGGAACTGCTAAGTCAAAGTTCCTTAAAGTTTTTATTCCAGCATGTAAATTGGTCAGTATCTAATCTATAGCTTTTTCCTTGCTCAGGTTAAGCCTTCCAAGATGGCTTTACCTACTTCCCACCTTCCCAAACAACTTTTAAAATCATGTTAAGTATTTGTTCCAGATTATAGACTTTAACTACTAAGTTCTATGAATCCTTCCTGAGCATGTCTTAGTTATCATTATTAATGCCTGTAGCCAAGAAATAAATTATACTATTTTCTTTGGTCACTATTTCTTGATTTCCACATCTATTTTTCTTGGATAAATTTTAATTTTTTACTTGAGGGACACCTGGGTGGCTCAGCGATTGAGTGTCTGCCTTTGGCTCAGGGCATGATCCTGGGGTCCTGGGATCAAGTCCCACATTCGGCTCCAGCAGGGAGCCTGCTTCTCCCTCTGTGTCTCTCATGAATAAATAAGTAAAATCTTTGAAAAAAAAATTTTTTTTTCACTTGATACATACATCCTAGGGTATTCCTAGTGGGTGTGGGTGAAAATAACTTTGTTTTGTCCCTACTTTTTTTTTTTTTTAAAGAATAAGAGAGTGAGTGAGCATGGGTTGAGGCAGAGGGAGAGAGAAACTCCAGCAGATTCCTCGCTGAGCTCGGAGCCTGACATGGGGCGTGATCTCAGAACCCCAAGATCATGACCTGAACTAAAACTAAGAGTCAGAAGCTTAGTTGACTGTGCTGCCCAGAGGCCCCTATTTTGCCCCCACTTTGAATGACAGGTATAATTTCTTAGTTCAAAATATGTCTCATAAGTACTTTTTAAACACTGCTCCACTGTTATCTAACATTCCATGTTCCAGATTAGAAGTCTAAGTGGAAATTTTGTTTTCACTCCTTTATAGGTAACCATGTTTCTCTTTGGAAGCTTATGAGACTGTATATTAATTTATTCATGAAGTTCATAACTTTCATTGGAATGTATCTTTGTGTGTCTATCGATACTCTTAAGACTCTCAGTCTAGTCCACTGTCTAGTCCATTCATAAACTCAGATACTTTGACTCAGAAATTTCCTCGGTTCCTTCCTTTCTTCTTTTGGCATAGTATTTTGTTTCCATTCTACCATAAGGTAAGAATGGAAAATCTGGTATCTATTTTGATTTGCGAGGGGGAGAAGAAGGGAGGAGAATGGGAAACAGGGACTGTTAGCACAACCAGAAACCCTTAACCCATGCCACATCTTTCTACAAGCCTGCTGATAAAAGGTATACTTACTGATCATTCCCACTACACAGATGAAATGGAGACCAAAGAGGGAAGGGCTGATTTAGATTTGCCAGTACTTTATCTTCTGATACATCTTTCTAGAGGCCCAAGATTCTGCCTGGGTACGCCTACCCTCATGATTTTTGTGGTTATTTCTCCTTTTCTAATTTCTATTCCTTCCTAGAACTGCTATGAGATTTTCACTGACTCTTCTGGATCTATTTTTCATGTCATAGCTATTTTTTCCCCTACTTTCTATGTTTTAATATTCAAGAACTGTTTGTTTTCAGGGCAGCCTGAATATGTTCAATAGGCATGATGCCCTCCCAAATCTGAACATACTAATAGTAATTTTAAAGTTTTCTTCTGTTTCTTACATTAACTCTATTGATTCAGGTCTATTTCTATGTATTTGTTCAGCCTGGGGCATCTCTCATATGCTACTGATTTCTGTTGTTTGTCCCCATTATAAATGCATCAGCAACTCAGCATCTGTTGGAAATCACTGTACTCCTGCGTAAATTCACATTTGTAACAATTTTATATTTACACACAGTACTTATATAGTACGTTAGCAACAAGGTAAGTTCTTTGACTTGCAGTCCCATGATTCTTCAATCCATTTTTAGTCCTATCCTTGTGGTGTTTCGTTTCCCCTAACAACCACCAACTTGAGTAACACAGTTCTTACCTAAGTGTTATGCAATAAGCTTCAGGGATAGATCGTCACCAGCTCTATCTAACAGACTTATCTAAGAGTTAAACAAATAATGACAGTCTGGCAGAAGATTGTTACAGGTGTGCAACCAAATAAATAAATAATAATATAGTAATGAATCACTTAAGTCTTGAACTCAAAATAGTTATCCTTTTTACAGAAGTTAAAAGAAATTATATTGAAAAAGAAAGACTCTATCTTGGTTCAAACCATTTTCTGCCTACCTTATGATAGTTATTCCACAGCTGAAGAAATGCACATAGGTGTTCACCAATAACATTTATAAGGAATGTTCCTAGCATTCTTCAAAATATGTAAAAATAGAAGTTGAAAACACAAATATCCATCAACAGAAGAATAGTCATATAGTCATATCAATGGAATATTGAACAGCAATTTTAAAAATGAACTTGAAACATCATGGGTGAATCTCACAAGCAATGTGCTGAGCGTAAACAAAACTAACAGATAATGACAGAAATCAGAACACTGATGGGGGTGGGCAAGAGTAAAACTAGGAAGAAGCAGAGGGAAACTCCTGGGATGATGGAAATGTTCTTTAAGTGTAATTTGGTGTAGCTTATGGTTACACAAGTTATTAAATATATAAAAACCCACTCAGTTGTGCAATTAAGATTTATGTACCTGATGACTTCATCTGTATTTCATACTTAAACAAAAAAGTTGAGAAAGAAAAAAAATGTAATTTCCAAACTGTCTGGAATGAAAACTATGCATATTTATGTCGATATTCAATAAATATTGGAACAGTTAGCCATATTTAGCCATAAATATTGGAAACCCAACATCCTTTTTACATTTAGTCATAAGACAGCTTTAGACACATCAGGATAATAATACAAAATGAAGATTAACATCGTTAGTCATAAAACACTTGGTTTCCCACCTCCAAGTATGGAAGTACTGTTTTAATACAACATTTTTATTTATTTATTTTTTAGATTTACTTACTTATTTATGTGAGACACACAGAGAGAGGCAGAGACACAAGCAGAGGGAGAAGCAGGCTCCCTGCGGGGAGCCTGACATGGGACTCAATCCCAGGACTCCGGGATGACGGGATGACGCCTGAGCCTAAGGCAGATGCTCAAACACTGGGCCACTAAGGTGCCCCTCAATACAACATTTAAAGACAACATTGATTCCACCAGAAATGAAGACTCAGCTCCTGAGAATCTTCAATGAGATTACGTGTCCGGACACTGCATATAAATCTCAAGGACAGGCTGAAAGATAAAAGCCTAAGATTTATAATCGAATCTCCATCCTGCCAATAATGTCATCACACACGCACACACTTAAAGCATCACTACTGCGTTTAGAAATGATTCCTCCGAAGGCTGTTCCGGAATAGCGCAATTTTCCAGATGAAGACTGAAAATGCAAGAGGCTCCCTGTCCTGTAGCCTCCTCGGCCGCACTGATTCCTACACAAATGTGCATCTCTGAAAGGCGCCTGCTGCCCGGCAGAGACAGACAGACACGGCGAGGGGCTGCTGTCAAGAGAATACTACGTTAACGCCATAAGGAGGCAACAGCTGACTAGAGAGTTTCTGCGCGGAGAGAAGCGGAGAGGATGGTGAGTCAGATGAAAAAAGAAAGTGCTAAAAATAAAACACACCCAAAGCCACGGTCCTCTGACAGCATCGTTCTCCAAAGAGAACTCAAACTGCTCCGAAAAGCGGTGACTCTCGCTGACACCGCAGCGGTCCTCCGAGGGCTTGTCCAGGAGGGGACCCCATCCGATAGGGGCCTCCCGCCCCCGTCCCGACCCCGGAGCTCGTCCGGGAAGCGACCCGACCCGGACCGGGACCCGCAGCCCTCCGCCCGCGCCCGGGCGCTCGCACTGCGCGGGCCCGAGCCGCGAGAGCCGCGGACAGGCGACGCTGGGTGGGGCCGCGTACTCACCGCGCTCACCCGTGGGTGCAAGGCCACCACCGCGCCGCTACGCCTCCTCCCCGGCTGCAGGCAGACACCAGCGGCGCCCGGCGCGCAGGGGATACCACCGCCTCAGCGCCCTCCGCGCCCCGCCGCGCCGACAACCGCCACTTCCGGCGCGCGTGAGGAAATGAGGCTGCCGCCGCGGGGCGCGCCCGCTCAGCCCCGCCCACGCCCCGGCCCCGCCCACAGCCGACGCCGACGGCCCCGCCCACTTTCCCGCCCGCGCCCAGTGTCGGGCTTAGGAAGCCTAGAAGCTGGCGTACGGTTCTGATTGATCAATTGTCTATTTAAAATTGTGTGTGTGCGTGTGTGTGTGTGTGTGTGCGTGTGCGTGTGTGTGCGCGTGCGCGTGTGTGCGCCTGTGTGCGCGTGTGTGCGCGTGTGCGTGTGTGTGTGCGTGTGCGTGTGTGTGTGCGTGTGCGTGCGTGTGCGCGTGCGCGTGTGTGCGCCTGTGTGCGCGTGTGTGCGCGTGTGCGTGTGTGTGCGCGTGTGCGTGTGTGTGTGCGTGCAGCTCGAAGAATGATTTGTGGAGACCGGGAGATTGCCCCAGGCAGAAAACCGTTTCCGCCGGAGCAGGTAGAGTCTGCGGAGACCCGAGTACCAGCCCGCGGCGGGCGGCGGACTCTGAGAGTGGGAGGGACTCGGCTGAGGAGGACAGCTCTGTCCTGCCCGGGACCCCTGTCCTGGGAGCTTGAAGGGTTGGTGAATGCCTTGGTGGACGCTGAGCTAAGGATTGATAGGTCGCCAGAGGTGTTCGGGCATCCTCGAGGGTGCTGGGCTGCGCGTGAGACCGCAGCAAGGAAGTCCTGAGCTGCCGCTGGACCTTTAGCCATTCCATTTCTTTGGACCAGGGTTTCCTTGTATGTGAACCGAGGGATTTGAGGTAGACATTGTGCAAGATGGCTTGAGATCTGATATTGTCTGATTTTAGTGGGGGGGGGGGGAAGCCCTCCCTAGCATCCCCTCTACTCAACTCTCAACTGCTTATTTCTGGGCATCCCCAAGGCACTTTGTCCTGCCCTAGGGAGTGATGGTCTGAGCAGGGGAGGGGATGTCAGGCAGCACCAGCCTCTGCCTGGGTCTGGGCAGGACACGAAGGTTCTAAGAGCAGCTCTGGGGTCTGGCCTCCCATCAGGCTCTGCTTTCCTTAGCGCAGGTTACCACACAGCCTCTCTTAGCCTTTTTCCTCAAGCTGTGTTGTAGGGACAATAACAATAGCAGACGCTTCCCTGAGGTTGTTGTGAAGGTTAAAAGCAATTCTGTGTCTGAAGGGTTTGGCACTCTACCTGGCAGGTGGCAGGCAATTGAAGGTTACTGTCACCATTGAGTACATTACTTAGAGCAGAAAATGGAGGTGACTATGGGATGCATCCTGTAGAAGCAGCATTCCTAGAAAGGAGGATTTGCTCCTAATCACAGCTGTCTTCACTGGATGATGGTTATTGGGATGTCTTTAATACAGATAGTCTTCTCAGATATGTCTTGTGGGAAATCCCACAGGTAAGAGTCTGGATAGCCTTCTTCTAAGATAGGCTTGCTGAATGTCCAGCCTCTTCCTTTTTTTTTTTTTTTAAGATTTATTTATTTATTCATGAGAGACGCAGAGACACAGGCAGAGGGAGAAGCAGGCTCCATGCAGGGAGCCCAACATGGGACTCGATCCCCAGTCTCCAGGATCATGCCCCGGGCGGAAGGCAGCGCTAAACCACTGAGCCACCAGGGCTGCCTTCCAGCCTCTTCCTAATTTCAAGTTGTCATTCCTCTTTCATGTCATTTCTGCGCAAATGTAAATAAACATTTATAGTGTTAACACTCCTTCCCCAAATCTGGCCCAAGACTGAATAATTCATCTAGTCATAGATTCCATGGGTCTGTGACCTTCTGAGGGTAAGGACCATGTCTTTTTCCTCTACCAGTACTTTACACATAGGAAGTGTTCAATAGGGATCCCTGGGTGGCGCAGCGGTTTGGCGCCTGCCTTTGGCCCAGGGCGCGATCCTGGAGACCCGCGATCGAATCCCACGTCGGGCTCCCGGAGCGTGGAGCCTGCTTCTCCCTCTGCCTGTGTCTCTGCCCCCCCCCCTGTGACTGTCATAAATAAATAAATTTTAAAAAGGAAGTGTTCAATAAATGTGAATTGAATTGATTAAAATAAGAACACACAAGGATCTCTCGCTTACCCAGAATCTCTGCCACTTGACTAGCCCCTTGAGCAGATGGCAGGAATGATTAAGTTTACTGTCTGACATAATTAAGCTTTCTGTCTGGATGCCTAGTTATGCTCTAGTATGGCAATCAGTCTTGTGTGAGTCTATGTAGTATAAATTAGTTATCTAGAGTTTTTTTTAAAAGATATTTATTTGTTCATGAAAGACACACACACACACAGAGAGAGAGAGAGAGAGAAAGAGAGAGAAAGAGAGAGGCAGAAACAGGCAGAGGGAGAAGCAAGATCCACTCAATCCCAGGACCCCAGGATCACGCCCTGGGCTGAAGGTGGCACTAAACCGCTGAGCCACCTGCACGTCCCAAGTTATCTTGTGTTTAAGCCTGCCATGGTTGTTTGTCCTGTAAGTCTGAGGATCCAACTTGGGAGTGTGAATGGAAAGGTGAAGTATTCTCTCTTGGGTACAGAGCACAACATTGGTGGATTTAAGAGGTTAAGACAGAAGTTCTTTGGGCAGCCCTGGTGGCGCAGCGGTTTAGCGCTGCCTGCAGCCTGGGGTGTGATCCTGGAGACCCGGGATTGAGTCCCATGTCGGGCTCCCTGCATGGAGCCTGCTTCTCTCTCTGCCTGTGTCTCTGCCTCTCTTTCGCTCTCTCTGAATAAATAAATAAATCTTTTTTTAAAAAAAGAGGTTAAGACAGAAGTTCTTTAAATACTTAAAGTGTTACTGCAAGTAATTATAAATGGCAGGCCACTGAACTGTCAGAGGATTACATTCCCAGGCTGGCAGCTTTGAAGCTCTCAATCCAAGTCTAAGTCCACTACATATCCTCAGTTAAGATGTTGTAATCAGCCTGTATTTGACATTCCTGATGATGGCCCTTAGGAAGTCTACAGAAAAAGGAGTATCTGGATCTGTCCTCTACTCTCATATCCAACCAGCAAATGCTCAGGCTGTCCTCTCTTTCTGCTGTCCTTAGACACTTTAAATTGGATGAGACTATCTACTCTCCCAGGGCAGGAACATGGCCTCTCCTTTTTCTCTCAGGCACCCCTAAACCGGGCCCAGGACCTGACCCATTATAGGTGCTCTCTGCATACCCACAGATGCATGAATCAATAAATACTAGTATTCATTCTACAGCTCTAACTTTCCTCTAGTGGAGGCCAAAGTAATAGCAAGATAAGCCTCTACTTCCACTAACCAGATGCAAAACAGCCTCACTTCCTGTTGTGCTGCAATGCACAGTAGAACCACTCCCATCCATGTTAAATATTCTATCCTTTGTCTACCTCCACTAGCCTTATAAGTGCTGGGTTTTCTTCTTTATTTATAGCACTTGTTTTTCTTCCTTTGCCCTACACTTTCCTTACTGATCATGCCATGTAGCCACATCTGGCACAAGCAGGGTGTGCACTCAGCAGCAAATGCTTCTCTCAGTGCTCCCTCTGTTCTAACCCCTCTAATCCTCTTGACATCCCTGTGGAGTAGGTTATGGTCCTCAGTTTACAGTGAAAGAAACAGAAACTCAGAGAAGAAACTGCAGAGGCTCTCCCAGGACAGGACCTGACATGAAATCAAAGCAGCAGGGTTAGGGTCATCTGTCACTTCTTGTAAACTGTTATTTGAATCCCCCATTAGAATTGTTGTTTTTAAAATAAATTGAGATTCTGCCATCAATGGATTTAAATTGTTAGCTTTTTATTATTTTTTGAATTGCTAAATAAAATACTAACTGAACTGTATATAATTTATATTTTGAGAGATAATGAGTAATTCAAGTTCTGTGGCAAGTAATGGTGATATACATAAAATAAATAGTTCCATTGAGAAAAATACTAACGTACTGTTGTGGTATATTAATACTAGAAGAATGTAGTTTTTTCCCCCCAACAATCTCTGACGCTTCTTTTTTTTTTGCCTGTAAAACTTTCCCACTCCCTAAGCCTGTTTTTGAGCTCCTGCCAAATGAAAGTGATAGGGGCTGACTTCCTTGCTATAGCAAGCTCTGAGTAGGCTTTGCCTATTCTCATTCCAACCATCTTTGTTTCCACCGTTTTCCCAGTGGCGCCACCAAGATATGCCCTTCCCTGCTTATTGCCTCAGACCAGAGGCTTCAATCAGGCATGGTATTCACAGAGGCCCCCTATGAATTGCTGTTCTTGGTTTATCAAGTCTGTAAGGATATGGTAAATTGGCATTGGGTCTGACCACTGCTCGCTTTGCATGGAGTTCCTTGGCTATTTCTTAGTTTGGGAACCTGGTTTTGTTATCGATTTCCATTTGTTAGGCATCTTTGATGGAATCAGTCCATTCCTTTCATCCCCTTTTGCTGTCTTTTATGTTTTGTGTACTTTCTAAGTGTTGTTTATCATATGGAGAATCATAGGATAGAACACTGGCACAGCCCTAGAACCCTGTTGCTCAAGCTGGTTCACAGACCTGAGTTTGGTCTTCTCTCCACGCCAGTGTCCATCTATACATGGTATTTCCCCCCATGACTTCCTTGTGTCCAAATTTCCCTCTTCTTGTAAGGGTACGAATCATCGGATTAGGGGCCACCTTAATGCAGCATGACCTCATCTTAACATGATTGCATCCATAAAGACCCTATTTTCGGATAAGGTCAATTTCACAGGCTCTGGAAGTATGGACTTGAACTTATCTTTTGGGGGCACAATTCTACCCACTATAGATGGCAACCTCACCAATTTCTGATAGATTCAGGTGCTACTCTTTCTGCATTAAGCCCTGCCACTTTTGTTCAGTCTTTTCCTAGGAGTAAACATATGGCAGATGGTGAGCATTTTAAATAACCCACAATTTTCTCTATTTCCCAGACCATAACTATGAGCCTTGAGCCGTTGATTGCAAAACATTCCTTCCTGCTCTGTGACATTGTCTCTTCAAAGGTAACAGGGAGAAACTTACTTTGCAATACTAAATGCACACCAGAGTACTTGGGACTATTTGTGAGATTCCATAGGATCCCTTTACTCAGAAGCAAGCTGATTCTGCTCTGGATTCTCCATTATATTTAATACACACCCCCAGATAATTTTCTTACCTGGGGGTGTGTATCAAATATACCTGACACTTTCTGGGCTAAAGATTCTACTGTAGTGGAATAAGAATAATTGGAGTAGAATCTATTAAAGTTTAGAGAGAACTTACCAAACCATTACCCAAACTTCTCCAATATCCCTTGAAACCAAAAGCAAAGGAAGGGATTAAATCTATAGTTGAAGTCTTATATCCAAAGATCTTCTTGTACCCTACCCTTGTAATATGCCCATCCTGGCAGTAAAGAATGGCCTCAGGGCCATTCACAAAACTGTTATTCCCCATTCTCTGGCGCATATACCATCCTGTGAGCCACTTGCTGAAGACACTGGCTGTAGTGAATCTTTGCTCAGCTTTTTTCAATGTGCTTCTAGAACAGGACAGTCAATAACTTTTTGTACATATTAATAGCAAATTTCCACAACATAAACCCTACAATTTTAACCATTAAGTATACAGTTCAGTGGCATGAAGTACATTTACATTGTTCTACATAGCCATCTCCACTATCCAGCTCCAGAACTTTTTCCTCATCCCACACTGAAACTCTTCCCCCATAAATACTAACTCCCCACTTTACCTTCTCCCAGCCCCTGGCAACCAACATTCTACTTTCTGCCTCTATGAATTTGCTCTATGTAACTCATGTGAATGGACTCACATACTATTTGTCTTTTGAGTATGTGTTTGAATGACGACAGTACCTTTCTTACCTTCACCTGGGGAAGATAACTGTCCTTCAGGATGGTCACGCCCCAAGGGTTCACTGAAGTATCCTACTATTTTTCTCAAGTTGTTAATCAAGATCTAAATGATCTAATTTTAATTAAATGAAAAGGAAAAATGAAAAAAAATTAATGATCTAATTTAAGTTATCTAAATTTCCCTTGTGATTGTTAGGACACCATATGTAGATGATCTCCTACTCTACTCAGAGAAAAAAGGATTCCATTTACTTATTCTCAGCCTTAGAAGAAGGTCATAATATTTCAAAAGACAAATTGCCATTTTGCCAAAATACAGTCTATTATTTAGGATGTGGTTCAACTAGAAGGGGAAAACATTCTCTTCTGATAGACTAAAACCTACTCAAATCTATGGTAGCTCCTTCACAAAATCACATCTGAGAGGATTTAAAGGTTTATTTATTTATTTTTAAGGATTTTATTTATTCATGAAAGACACACAGAGGGAGAGAGAGAGAGAGAGAGAGAGAGAGAGAGAGAGAGAAGCAGAAACATAGGCAGAGGGTGAAGCAGGCTCCTCGCAGGGAACCCAATGTGGGACTCAATTCTGGACCCTGGGATCATGCCCTGAGCCAAAGGCAGATGCTCAACTGCTGAGGTATCCAGGCATCCCAGGATTTAAAGGTTCCACTAGATTTTTCAGCACCCATTGGTGCTAAATTTTTTCTGTGATTTTTATACCTCTTTATGAACTAAGTTCTTAGTAAGAGATTCTCTCCTCTGGGAGCCTCAAAATGAACAGGCTTTCTGGAACCTGAAGGTGGCTCATCAGTGGCCTCTTTCCCTAGACATCTGAAACAACAGAAGGCCCTTCTGTCTATTTGTGCATGAGCAATCTGGACAAGACCTTGGAGTTTCACGGGAACCATCCAAAACCCATCACTTACTACCTAGCCTTCCCTTGACATGCTATATGCCCCTAGTGTTAGGGCAGGTGTTCTGCTGCAAAATTTGTGGATGCTTCTGCCGAGCTAGTTCCAGGCTCCTCGCTTGACCTCATGATCCTTCCTGAAGTAGAGAGATTACTATTGACTGGAAACAGCACTTCTCAGCCAGCTGCTTAACATCTTATGAAATTCTATTACTCTCTCCCTCTCAGGTACTACTTACTGCTACAATACCCTGAATCCAGGCATTCTGCTTCTCTTAGCAGAAGAAGGGGAGCCTAGTGATCATTTTACCTCAGATAATTTGGGAACTCTCTGTACCTTACTCACATGTATTATAGTCTCATATTGAGAACCCTGAACTAATCCTGTTTGCTGATGGATCATTCTTGAAGCTGGAAGATATCAAGCAGCATGTACTATCATTAATTGAAGGTCTCCTTTAGAATTTAGTCCTCTCCTGAGGTAAAATCAGTCAAAATGGCAGAAGGTGTTGAATTTACTACAGCTTGTTAACTAGCCAAAGACTAGAGGGTAAACATATAATATAGACAGGAAATATGTTTTTGGGGTGCCACACAACTTTGGGATGCTAGAACCCCCACAAAAATGGACAAGTTAAGCAACTATTAGATGCATTCTATTTACTACAAAGGTGACTACTATGAAGGTTGAGAACCATGCAAAAAGAGACAATTTTGAAGCTAAAGGAAACGCTCTGCAGATCATGATGCCAAACAGCTAAATTTTCTCCCTGAAACTATTCATGGAGCACAAATTGATTACTACTTTAAATTGACACTGGAGGGGAATCCCTGGGTGGCGCAGTGGTTTGGCGCCTGTCTTTGGCCCGGGGGGGGGGGGGGGCGCGATCCTGGAGACCCGGGATCGAATCCCACGTCAGGCTCCCGGTGCATGGAGCCTGCTTCTCCCTCTGCCTGTGTCCCTGCCTCTCTCTCTCTCTCTCTCTCTCTCTCTGTGACTGCCATAAATAAAAAAAAAAAATTGACACTGGAGAAGCTGTAAAGGGACAGCTGCATTGTTCTAAATTTCATGTGGGTAAGTCATGGTGTGTGCCAATCCTAATACTGTCCTTGGATCAGTGACACAGGGAAGGTGGGGCAGGCTCTACAGTGCCTTACGAGTAAAAGCTACTTGCTCTGTAAAACTGACCCTCAGGACCTGTATGGAATTTATTCTTGGCCTGGGTTAGGATTCTGGGTTCAAAGCATCTGACGGGTTATTAATTGTTCTCATTCTTGTTTATGTCATAGGGGTAGTAATACTGGTCCACTGCATTCTATCCAGGGTCTGAAATGCTTCTGCACAGCTACTTTCCTCATCAGATGATCCTCATGGTGATACAACAGAAAGGCTGAGAAGACTTCATGATACAGTTGGCCATGTAGAGGACTGAACAATCAATCTCAAAGTGGTGAAGATCTGGATTTCTAGACTTCCCGAAATTCACCAACTTCTCACAAGCAAGAAAATGATCAGAAAGGAAGACTGAGAGACTGAATATGCAGACATACAATGACCAGACCACATGTAAACTGAGAAGCCCTGACCCACACCTCTGTAGGAACTGGCCCAGAATGGTCAGGGCTTGGTCTATGACTGCCACGTTCCCCACTTTTGCTATTTCCAAATCAGAACCAATCAGAGAGAGCCAAATATGTTCCCAAAGCAAATCTCATAAGATGCCCGACTTCTAGGTAGCCTACCTTCCGCTTCCCCCTGCTATCAACTTCCAAGCACAACGTGCCTGAAGCCTCTCTCCCTCACCCCCTTTTTTACTGTAAAGCTTTTCCCTCCTCTGCCTGCCTTCGAGTTTCTGTCAAAACCAACTGATGGTGGTTGAACTCTCTTACTATAGCGAGTTCAGAATTAAATAACCTCTGCTTGTTCCATTTGGATGGTCTTTACTTATTTCCATGAAATTTAATTTTATAGATAATTGGGGTCCTCTGAAAAAAATACAATTTTCTACCACAATGCTTTTTTTTTTTTTAAAGATTTTATTTATTTATTCATGAGAGACACACAGAGAGAGAGAGGCAGAGGGAGAAGCAGGCTCCCCAAAGGGAGCCTGATGTGGGACTTGATCCCAGAACCCCGGGATCATGACCTGAGCCAAAGGTGGATGCTCAACCACTGAGTCACCCAAGTCCCCCACACAATACTTCTTTTACTTCAATGACTATCTCATGAAAGACCAGAATCCTTCTATCCTCTGTATCACTCCTTTTCTTAAAAATCTGATAATCTTTTCTTTCCCCAAACCCTTGGCATGCACCTGACCTGCCAGGCCCTGTGGCCACAGACCCTCCAGGGAAATTTTCTCTTTAAAGCTCCCAGGATGGGGATCCCTGGGTGGCTCAGAGGTTTGGCACCTGCCTTTGGCCCAGGGCGTGATCCTGGAGTCCCGGGATCGAGTCCCACATCAGGCTCCTGGCATGGAGCCTGCTTCTCCCTCTGCCTGTGTCTCTGCCTCTCTGTGTGTGTGTGTGTCTAAAATAAGTAAATAAATCTTTAAAAAAATAAATAAAAATAAAGCTCCCAGGAGGCACATGTGAAGCATGTCATAGGCCCTTGGTGAAAGAAGCATCTGAGGACAGGGGCTGTGACACAGGCACCATGTGGGCTCCCTACAGTCCTCTGGGCAAAGTCCCTTGCCTCAGGGAGTAAGAGGCAGCCTCGCGTTCTTCCTTCTTCCAGTCTAGACCCTTCCCAAACCATAGGAATGACTTTCCTCCACAGGGGAAATGACATGTGCAGAAAAGGACTGGCATGGAGGTGAGAGACAAGAGCAGCCAAAAAACATATGGTTTATTCTGGTACTGTTTACAAAACTGACCAAGATTAAAAGAAACGGGGACACTTAAAATGAACTTCACATTTTTATTCATGAAATTGATCATTTTCATGGTAAATATTATGTTTATGAAATATCCAAATGATTTCCTTCTCAAAAAGTTACTTTTGTGTTTTGTTTTGTTTTTTAGTTTTGGAATGTACTTACCTTGCCTGCTCATGCTAACTTTGAACTTGAATTGCTGTGTCCTCTGAATGGATGCAGGGCTATGGTGCCTCCCGGTGTGGAACAGAACTCCTGAAGTCATGGTGGTTGGGTTGGAGTGGTCTTGGGTTGTGACTCCTTCCATGCTGCCTGGCCCAGTTCCTTGTGACACTGATGTTTCTGCAGTCACCAAGTTCCTGTAGATGGCTTCCCCGTTACAACTCTGGGCCAGGCTCACATTGAGAGATGTCGGTTGGCCAGGTCCTGTGATTTAGCACATCCCCCAAAACATCTGCAAAATTATCTCATTACTTGACATAGCCATCAAAACCTGACTTGCAAAGATTAACCGTGATTTCTTTTGGGCATTGATAGTGCGTGCCAGTGTCTTTGACTCTGGGTGTGATGCTCACTCTTGCTGCTGTTACACTGCCCCCCCCCGCCCCCATCCAGCCTTGGCTGCAGAATGGATAGGTGCTCCAAATTGAAAAATTCTCTACATAGAGGTTCTGATTTTTTGTGATGTCAGCTAAGAACAGTTCCTGTGAATCCCTAGAGTTCTAACAAGGCCATCAAGGTTGCTGCCTGTGGAGAAGAGATGAGAGAACAGAACAGGCAGACTCAGTGGAGGGGTGTTTTCTGCACAAGGACAAGAGCAGAGAATAAGCTCTGTGAATATCTTCATGCTGAAGGGATGAGGAAGCTCCTCCACCACTACGCGTGCCCTTCAGACCACCATGTCTTTCCAGAGCCACAGAGTTATGGATTTCTCAGGCATCATCTAGAACCACCCTAAATGCCACCTGCTAAATATCCTATACATGAATATGCCCAAGGGAGGAGAGGAAACCATTCACTGGGGAAATGATGCTTTATTTATACTGGGGAAGATTATGCTTTTCCTTTGAATTTTCTATTACATATAAAGTATTTGTCCAAGCCCCATTCTCAGGCATTATATTCAACTAAATTTCCACTCTTAAAATAAGCTGCCCTTATGGTAGAAAAGCATCGTTTGTGGAAATTGGTGGAGGAATGTGCTTTTTAAGACAAATAAACCAAACATACAAACACTCCTAATGGAAGTTCAATGCTCTTGAAAAAGGGGGCTTTTAGTATTTTAGTATCAGCTTTTCTCAGCATGGGTTTCTAAACGGTCAGAGGAAAAGACTGTAACAAATCGCTCACCCTAGAGATTACGTTTACTTCCAGCCCCTGTGATTCAGATTGAAGGGGGACGTCAAGAGTGGACATGGGTGCTGAGGGCCGGAAGCCAGAGCTTCGAGGGCCAGGGGCAGTCCGTCCAGGTGTGTGTGTGTGTGTGTGTGTGTGTGTGTGTGCACGTGTGTACACCAAATGTGGGAAATGACATAGGCTTTTGGCATCTAGTGCACGACACACTCAGAAATCAGATTTATATTGGTAACAACTTGTGTTTGCCAACTGACCTATCTGCTCCCTGCCAGGCATTTGAGGAGGAGTTCAGAGAATGCATGCATAACCCAGCAGAAAGACTTGGTCTTTTAAACTTATGGTAGTTCAGGGCAAAAGTTTATCACTGACTGTACCAGACTTTCAGTTATGGCTATGCATTTTGCATCCCTTCTTGCACATCTGTCTAATGGCAGCTTTAAGAAATAAGCCAATTTGCTAGAGAACCGCAAACACCTGAACTCGATGTGGCTGTTGCTCTATTTCAGGGAAAGAAACACAAAGGAAAGAATGGTGGAACTAGCGGCACTTTAACAGTTCCCATAATGTGCCTAGTCACCTACATATTGTTCAAGATAAGTCAATGACCAAGCACCTCCTAGTTCTTTGAGCACTGTCACTTCCCCAGGGGTTACCATGACAGATCTCCTTGTGGTATTTCAATCCTTACACGTTGAAACTTCAAAATCAGAAACCTGATGTTTCCAACTGGGAAGTTAAAAAGAGAAAAGAAGTTTACACATTTTATGATAGATGATTTTATTCACATAATTGAAATTATTTCCTTAGTCACCTTGTTACAAAAGCAAATTAACAATGGTATGGTTTAGTAACCTTTCATAAATAGATTTTACAAATTTTAATAACTGACAGATTGCTACTTAATGCTCAGTAATACTTAATACTTGGTAACTTCAGTGTATATGCATATGAAAATAGTCTGATAGGACCAGTAAGTATGAGTGCTTTTAAAACTCAGGAATAGACATTAGATAACTGGTCAAGGGTTAAGACCTGGAGCTTTCACCCTGCCAAGAACAAACCCACTGTGGCAACTCGCACCTGTTGAGTAGGTATTTTTTAACAATTTGAAGAGTTTATCCTTTTTTCTGCATTTAATAAGACTGTCATTAACCACATCTGAAAACCAAAAGTTTACCACAACTAGATTATTTGTAAAAGAACTTATCACAGTGTGTCTGAAAAGTGGCCTAAACTAAAGCCACGTTACAGCGTGTTTTTCCAGCTCTCCCTCTGCGGGTTTGTGTGCACACGCATACACACACATACTATGAGGCTCTGCTACATACTCATCCAAGCTACAAAAATTCCCTAATTTTACTGCTTTTGTGAAACGCCTATGAGATACAGCGTTTGGATGAGACACTGTCAGTCCTTTACAGTGCTTTAAGTCTGAAGGCCAGGCAGCGTGTTGGGAACTGACCCTCTCCCTAGAGGTTACAGTCAGAAGAGCAGCTGGGAACTTCCCGAAAGCCACCCCCACAGATGGGAGGAGTACAGAGTGTCTGTGACCACAAACAAGCAGTGAAGAATGTCAAGAAGCTTATGAGTCATGGTCAGAATCTAATAAACAAGAATGTCTCGCTATAGCAGCATTAACTTACAAAGACAGAAAGAGTGGATACACGTACCTTTTCACACAAGCTCTATGAGAGCCAAAACATTGTCTTTTCCACATCAGAACTGTAATCAGAGGGTAGCAGTCCTTGGTCATTGTCAATGTTACTTCTAACATAACTAGCTGAACTGTCCTTTTTAAGCTGAGCACTAACCCCACCCACTACTCCTAATGTATGAGACGAGCCACTGCTTTCTGGCGCTGGACATGTGGTGCATGAAGGCTGGCAGCAGTGGGATTCACAGCAGCCAAGTCTTGGCTGTCAGCAATCCTTGGACTGGAGCCATTCCACTCAAACGCCCCTTTTCTTCATACCGTTCTTGTCAGGGCGCAGTGATCACTCAGTGATGGGGACAGAAGCGTCTGTGAGCCCATTCCCCTCACACCACCCACCTATATAGTAAATATGGCATCAAATCTCTCCATTGTGCTAAATTTAAAAATCATTTAAATCATGATAAAAATCAAACGTCTTCCTAAGAAAAGGCGCCATGATTAAAAAAATAAAACCAAAAACGTTCTCAAGAACTCAAACGCTGAGTTGAGGCCCATCCCGAGGTCTCCTCATCCCCTCCAGCCCTGGCTGTAGTGGGTTTTGACACCCCTACAAGGCCTTGCTGGGCTCTTGTTCTGAACAAGAACATGTTGTTTGGGCCAGATTTTATTTTTCCTGTTGCCCTTTGGTGTGTGTGCTTCGTGTTTAAATCTTGTTGCCTTGTTTGGTGGCAACCAGAAAAATAAAACAGCTCAGGTAGTGATTGAAGGACCCACATGTGTGAGCACAGAATGTGTGGTGGTCACCGATGAGCACGGACCAACACAGGGTACTACTGAGGGCCGAAGAGGAAGGAATAACTAGAGGCTGGACTCACAACTCTGGTCCAGTGGCTACGTGTGCCAGGAGGGAAAATCACCAGCCAGTGTGAGGTGCACAAAGGAGGGGCCGGCAGACTTTCCATTCTCGGCATGTTTCTTCCCCTTGTGAGTCCATTACCTTTCACAAAGAAATGTTAACTATCAAATGCGTCCATTAATTGTGCCGCTGAGGGTGAAACCATCCAGTTAGCATATACACTATCATTTGCATATCTTGGACACACAGAGTTAGTGCCATCAGCTCTCGTGAGTGGTACAGGACTCTCTTCAGGCCAGTTCGGGTCTGACATGCCTAAAAATGAAAACAGATAATTTGTTCTGCACTGAAGAACCAAAACTTCATGTGCAGACAGTAAGGCCTTGGCAAAACTCCCTTTGAGGTTCAAACCAAACTTTCTGGTTTCTGTGCCAATTACATGAATGGTTTCCTGCTTCAGGTTTCCAAAACACTGTTATATTTTGGGGGAAAGATCATGTGCTCTCTTGGTAACCAGAACTTAACAAGAACTACCAATTTTGACTTTTATGAGCTTCAAACTTCCAAATCTAAGTATTTGTTGACCCGTTTAAGTCTTTTTCTAAGATAGCATAAAGCATTGCTGAATTAAAGGGCATACTGAAGTGGGAAGCTTTTAAAAAAAAGTTCTCTAACATAAGAAGCCTACTTGTCTTCCATCCAAGCCCACCATGGAGGAGAGAATCTTCCAAATCAAGGGTACACGCGGGCGAGCCCCATAGCGTCGACAGGACAAATGGCATGTAGCGCTAGACCCAAAGCCAGCAAGGAAATCAGTGATTCAGGAGGCATGCAAAAGGAACAATCTCAGCTGAAAAATGCTTGAAACTCCAAGATTTTAAAACAATCAATGATCAAGTTAAGAAACAGAAAATTTTTTAAGTGTTTAATCAAAGACAAAAGAAGGAGTTTTGGCAAGAACCATATTTACTGTCCATTGCAAGACCACAGCACCACAGACTACGTTCTTTCAAAAGCATTTGCTCCAGCTTTTAGCACTGACTTCATAAACGGCAACTGTCATGACAGTGTGTAATGCAAAGGATGTGAAAACAGCAGCCTGTATGTGTCTTCCCTGATGGGGGGCATGTGGGTGGGACCAGGCTAGGCCAGCCCACACTCCCTAGTACCAAGTGGCCTCTGGGAGCCACCTGACCACCCAGCTGGGGTCTGGGTGTGACCACAGGCTGCGCCTTCAGTGCAGGCAGAGTGGTCCTGGCTCCTCCTGTCTAAATTAAATGCCTCTTCAGATTGGGTAAATTTATCCAGTAGTTAATTAGAAGTACTATGACTTGATACATACCCACCCCAGAAATGATTTATCATTTTCTCAATATCCCCTGAGAGTTCTGCCCAGCTCTCTTTCTTCTCTATAATAGTGAGTTGCTGGGTAGTGTGGTAATTATACTTATTTTCACATCCTTTTAAAAAAACAGTTTCAAAAATGCCTGAACGTAAACGGATGGAAAGTCAGACATTTACAAATAAAGAGGTTCAGAGAGAGATTTGGTTTCATTCAGACCAGAAACACTATTAAAAAGCATTACAGAGAGTAAGGATAGTGCAGAGAGGCACAACGTTGCTAGAATCTAGTAAATGCATGTGAAATTCTACCATAGAGTTTGTTTTCAATCCACGTGGAGGGAAGGGTTCGAGGGAGGGGAGCATTATTACAGTCCACCAGAGGTGTCTCCTCCTCCGAGAGGCCATCGTCATAAAGCAGGGAGTCAGATGGGGTGGACGCCGCCAGGTCCAAGTAGTCCTGGAAGAGACAGATGGCTGTTCACCCTGGTGTAGGCCACAACTGGACTCGCCCCTTGCCCCTCCCCACCCAAAGGCAGAAGCCCTGGCTGAGTCCTACCCCATGCTGTCTTACTGGCTTCTCCTGGAGACTTGAATTTTTTTATTCTTTATTTATTTATGATAGTCACACACACAGAGAGAGAGAGAGAGGCAGAGACATAGGCAGAGGGAGAAGCAGGCTCCATGCACTGGGAGCCTGATGTGGGATTCGATCCCGGGTCTCCAGGATCGCGCCCTGGGCCAAAGGCAGGCGCCAAACCGCTGCGCCACCAGGGATCCCCTCCCGGAGACTTGAAACCTTCACCAGACAGCCCCTCTCCCAACCTCTGCTTCACTGGTGCTGTTCCACAGCCTTTGTCGCTTCCCCTAGAAATTCACCTTTTTGGGGGGAGAAATGTGCTCCTTCATTGTTCAAGTCCTGTCTCTGCAGCATGGTGGTATACCACACCCAGCACCAGGGACCTAGCCTGTTTACCAAACCCAAGGCTCTGGGACAGCTCACTCTAGCATTACTCATGTGGGAGTGTCAAAAAGCGTCTCCAACTTGCTGGACACTTTTCAGCTTTCCTCTGAGGACCCTGTCTTCTAGAACAGTACATCAGGGCTCAGAAATCTGAAGTCATTGATGCAGGTTTTGCATAGGATACTGCTATACACTTCAGCTTCAATGCAGGATTTCCCAGGGCCTGCCACTGCTGCTGCCCTGGTTAAATGTGTAATGAATGGTTCTAGCATTTTCCTGGCTGTGTTTCTCAGCTCTGTTCTAGGAAGGCTGGCTCTCTTGGCATCACCTATTACTTTTATTTAAGACAACCCTATATTCACAGGATTTGGAGGCTCGGCCCAAACAGTGGTACACTGATGTTAGGTTTTATTACAAGCACCTTACACTATGCGTCTTTGTTATTGTGTATGAAGCAATGCCAACTTTTAGTAAATGTGTCAATGCAAAGATGAAACCCTGAAAGCAAGACTTGTGCCTGTCTTGTTTGCTTGTATCCCCAGCATCTGAGACAGAATATGTTACATAACAGTTGCTCAATAAGTATAAGTTGAAAGTTGTTGGCTTTCTTATTTACCTACAGAGTTGTAACCTGGAGCACACGGGCTAAATCTGGATTCCCAGATATGCTTTACTTGGAGCAGACTGAGCTTTTGGAAATTTAAACTAGTTATTAACATTAGAGACTGGGAATCTTAACACAAATATCCTTTAAAATTTAGAGGACCTGACACTCTGGCTCTCATATTCCTACAGATTACATGTGGCTATGCTGAGGGGTCCTTCAGACGTGCCCCTCTGTTTTTGCCATGGTCCCAACTACTCCCTAGCCACTTCCATCCCCTACTTCAACTCCACTCTTTCATGTTCCGTTACTAAAAATTATTTTGACTTTGGATTATTTGCCTCCCACATCTGTCTGTGGAGAGTTCTAAGTATAAAGGGAAGAACCTTGGTTTCTTTATGATTTGAGAGGGGGCTCAAGGAGTAAGGGTTTGGTTGCTGGCTGCCCTCAGGAGGCAGCATGACTGTCTCCCTTTGCATGGCCTTGCTCTGCCCCTGCACTGGGACCTCCATAGAACTGAGGTGAGGCTGGAGTCCCCCACTGCTGTGTTCAGCGTGCAGGAGGCCAACACAAGGAACTGGCTCCAGGTACTCACTCTGTTCTTAACCATCATCTTCTCTAAGTCTTTGCTGATGTCAGCAAACACTGGCCTCTTGTCTGGTTCCTGCTTCCAACACTGCAGCATTAGACCGTACCTGGAGGGAAGCACAGATAGGCAGTTATGACCCTGCAAGGATTGCCCGATCACAGTCACCACACTCAGCACAGTGCCTTCAGCCCAGAAGGCTCTGTTCTCAAACTCAAAGCCATTTCTGCATCACTGACATCCTTCTCTGAGTTGCATCTACGGGGTCACTAGGCCCACTCAGGGTGCCTGGTGTTGTGGTCCAGCATCTTCTGTCTCCTTTCCCTTGAGAGAGATTTGTTTTCAATTCCTTTTCAGACATTAGAAAACAGCTAACAGGATGCCAAGCCTACTATGGTGGCTGAGGGAGCAATGCCAGTCCTTCAAACACTTATGAAATATTAAGTGGTTGTAGAAATAAACAAGCAAAATATCTGCCAATCACCTGTCTTGTACCTGCCTCACTTCCTCATTTCTCTGGGTCTATGGCATGGCTGCAGGGGCCCCAGGGTTGCTATGTGGGTGTGCGCTGGGCCAGCTGCCTGCCAGCCCAGGCCACCCAGAGAGATGGCACCTGCACTCCCTCATTTAGCCCTGAGCCAGGGTAGTCAGCACACAACAGATTTTGTGGAATGAATGGACCAGTGTGTTTCTGCCTATGATGGTCGCTTTCTCATGTGTTCTCAGCCTGTCCTCCGAGAATTGTCTGCTGGAACCACCATATGTGAAGACTCTGGGGCTCCTGGGCTGTGGTGCAGGGTCCTTATGTCTGCTACCTCCTGACCTCTGTGCTTCCATGTGGGGACTCCCCAACATGCACCTATCGGCTCATTCTGAATTACCTGCTCCTCCCCAAGTATCCTGCAGGGACAGGCCTTGGGTTTCATCTGCTCCCTGGGTCTGAAGCACCCTTTCATCCTTCCCAATTGCCGCTCATCCAAGTCTCCCCCACACCCTCAGGAAGCACACTCAGTCCCCAATGGAATCAGGGTCCCCAGCATCTGTTGTGGTGCCTAGTGGTGGTTCTCTGACTTCTGGCATGCTCTGCCCTGTTACTATCTACCACCTGCTTCACCCTGGGCTCGCGTCCAGGGCTGCTCAGGAGCAGGGAGGGAATGAGTATATTGTCTGTGTCTGAGGGAGGCTGGGCTAAAGCAAAGCCTGCTCACATCTCCTCACTGCAGTTGTCAGGCCTCTCCATCCGGTAGCCTGTCTTCAGAAGGTTGAAGAGCCGCTCTGGAGGAATCCCAGGGTAGGGGTTGCCCCCCAGAGTCACAATCTCCCACAGCAGGACACCGAAGGACCACCTAAGGGGAGTGAGACAACCAGTGAGCGGCTGTCCTGGGCCAGCGGTGTCCTCCCCTCAGCAGATGATATGTCCATCCTCCCAGCAGCTGTTCACCCCACCAGCCCTCAGTGCAAAGAGCCATCTGGGGCCTGACTTCATGGATGGATGTAGAATGGAGGTGGGGGTAAGCTGTCTGCCTGCCCAGCTCTCACCCCTGCAGTGCTGCAGCCCGACAGGGCCACTGCCCAAGCTCAGACCCCACACCCATGAGGGGTACTTGGCTGGCCCTGTGGAGATGCACTGAAGCATCAGAGACAGCACAAAGCAGCTGAGCAAGTGCAGCAAGGTGCAAGGTGGGGACCTAGGTCACGGGGATCTACGCCATGGGACCCAGGGCTGCTTGCACCAATTCCTTCACCTTTCCTGTGGGCTTGGAAATTTTCATGAAATCTTGGAAGAAAAAAGGCCCTGACATAGAAAAATATTTAACTGTGAAGTGCGAACCACATTACAAAATAGCATTGTCACATGAGCCCACTTACAGCAACAGACAGCATACACCTGCACATAAGGAGAACACTAGAAAGCCCATGAAGGCCAGGAGCTACAGGAGCTACTTAGAGGCAGTGGGATCCAAGTGACTTCCAGTGTCTTCATTACCCTGTTCTCTGCATTTTCAAACATTTTACATACTCTCAACATAACTGTTTTGAACTGTTCAGGAGCTGCCTTTCCTCAGCCCACATTATTCAAGACATGCACGTCTGTTGATGGCAGCATACTGAGTAACAAGTCTGTTGTGTTTTTGAAAGCTATCTGGTCTTATGATTGGACCTGGAAGGCCAACTTTTAGTTCTCATTTTTTGAGCAGTTTGGGACTCACTCAAGGCCACGCTCCTTGTGGGTGGGGACCATTCTGCTCCCAGGGGAACTTGCCTGAGCCCAGCCCACACTCAGATCCACAGCCGGGGAACTGCTTGGCTGGGCCTGGGTGGCATGAAGATGCCCAAAGAGGAGAGGGAGGGGCTGAGAAGGGGAGCAGTGAGCGGAATTTGCAGTTACCTGCTCATGGCTCTCATGCACTCCACTGCGACTCTCAGAACCACTGCACAGGTCCCTGCCATTTGCTGAATGAATATGCGAAGCTCCCTCAGCTTGCAGGGAGGGGCAGCAGTCATTGCAGATGGTTGGTATGAGCCAACAGGCACTTGGGTCCCAGCCACGCTGCCCAGATAGTCATTGTGGCATATTATACATGTAACCTTGACCCCAGAAAAGCAACACCCACACTTACACATCACTTTGGGTGGTATAGATATGATCGAAAAGAGACTCAATTGCCATCCACTTGACTGGAATCCGACCCTATAAAGGGAATGAGGAAAGGCATTAACATCGCTCTGACAACACCCTGGGAACCAGGGGTTGGGGGTGTGGAGGAGGGTGAGGTCATGTCCCAGGCACTCCCGGCTCTGGAAGGATGCTGTGTAACGACATGCAGAGTGCTCCCAGGTACAGAATTGACAGCAAGTTCCAGAGGGTCTGGAACTCTAATCTGGCATGGCTGAGACACTGGAGGGAGTCAGCTGGCCTGCCCACAGGTACACAGGGCGTGCTTGTCATGCACTACATCCCTGCTGAGAAGAAACCCAAGGAATCATGACTGGCTCACACCAGCCAGGTCCCTTCCCTACAGCCAGGTCCAGAGGGTTCTGGGTGCCCAGGGTGGTGAAGCTCAATGTGTGGGCAAACAACACCATCCAGCAAGATCTCCCGATTTCTGAGGGTGAATGAGTTTGGGATACCAACTTCCAGCACTTCCATCTTGGGGACTATTGATGCAAACCAACACGCTAAAGGCTTTTCTGAGACACCCCAAGGGAAGAAATCTGTTTCTATGCTTTGGGGCTGCTTCTTTCCCCATCATTTTATCCCAAAGCTCTGTGAGCATCCTCTGAGACAGTGCCCCCACTGGAGAGGTGCTGGGGTCAGACCTAACAAGGCTTCCCATGCAACTTGACAAATAGCTTTTCATTAGGTTAAGGATTAGGACACAAGTCAGCCAAAAATGCATGTGCTGGATTTTAATGCAACTTTTCCTATAATTTCTTTTTTCTTAAAGCATTTTTTAGGATTTACATCCTTAATGAAAGGGTGATTTTCTGGGAGCATGTGTTCATAACAACACTGCCTGCTGCCTGCACTCTCTAGGGGCCCTTGTGCTTGGATGCCGGTACTTCTCTGTTCCATGACACAGGCCATTCTTGGAGGACCAGTGCATCAATAGAAAGCCTCTGTCCACAGCTCTGCACGGGGCAGAAAGGAGGCTTCTCCACTTCCCCTTTAGTAGTTCTGAGATATGCTGTCATAACGGAAACCCCAGAAGAAACGAAACCTCATCCTCACAGCCTGTGGCAACACAGGGCTTCTCCTGACCCATTAGAGCAGATCTGAAATGTATGCAGTCGCTTTTTAAAATTTTTCTCTTTTTTTATTTTTGTGCAGTTTCGTTCTGAAGGCCAGGCAGCTGTGACTCTTGAACAGCCCTGTGAGTGGCCCTGTCTCATCTGTCACAAGAAGGCTGCAGGGGAAGGTCTGAGAGGGCAGTGGAATCACAAGCGTTAGGAGGAATGCCACAGGGAGCTGGACAACACAGCGAAGCAGACTTCCTCAGAAGAGTCCCCAACCACCTATTTCAGAGGTTCGGAAAAAGCTGTCTGAGAACCTATCCTCTGTCTCTGGACTCCATCTCAGGGCCTCCCCGTGAACCTTCCAAACTCACCCAGCCAGAGGTTCCCAGGCCCCCATCCCAGGGGAACCACTACCTGTAAAGCAGTTCATTCCTCCCTGCCCAGAATGACTGCCACACTCAGGTATGTTGACTTCAGTCTCCTTTGAGTGAAGAGCTGAAGTTACAGAGAGGAAACAAGGGACCTTTCATCTTGTGGAAGCGACAGGAACAACTGTGGAGCAACTGTCATTTCCACAGCATTAGGTGACTTTCCACAGTGTTGGTGGTTAAAAGCAAGAGAAGCCCAGGGAACCCCCTCCCTAGCAGGCCCTCTGAAAACGTGGGTATGGCCCTTAGGAAGAGAAGAAACAGACCCGGGGGAGAGGGGAGGTCCTGAACTGGCTCTCTGGGAACCCAGGAATCAGGAAGGGTTTGAAGATGAGGATAGAAGTTCATACTCTAAAACTCTGCTCTCTCCTCGCCGGTGTTCTAGGGGCTCTGCCCCTACCCACTGTAGGAACCCTGCCCCCTGCTAGGGGAGCCCTGGGCCCTCCCTTGCTCCCACAAGGACCTGGTACCTTGCTCCTCTTCACGTAGGAATCTTCCTCATAAACATCTCGGGAGAGGCCAAAATCTGAAATCTTCATCTTCCGCCCCTCAGCCACCAGGACGTTTCTGGCGGCCAAGTCCCGATGGACAAGCTGCAGGGAAGACAACAGGCAGGGACCCCTCAAGCCCGGGTCCCCATCGCTGGCAGTGGGGAGCCGGGGCTGGCATGGCACACACCTTCATCTCTGCCAGGTACCGCATCCCCCGAGAGATCTGCCAGGCGAAGGAGATGAGGTCGCCCATGGTCAGCGCCCGCTCCTCGGGGTTGTCCAGGTAGCTGGAGCTTCGGCTGCCTCCACTGCCCACATAGCCTGGACCCGCCTTGCGGCTTTCTCGGAGGAAGCCCCGCAGTGAGCCATACTTGGCATACTCCACAATGAGGAAGAGTGGCCCTGGGGGCAGAGAAAGGGGGCTGTGAGAAGTCCGGCCAGCTCTAGGAGCATGGGAGGAGGCTACAGGGTCCCCAGGCAGGCTCCACATCCTACCAATAAGTGGGCAGAAGGACACAGCCATGCCAGTGGCCTGGGTGCCAAAGCAGCATGAGTCCATGTGTCAGTGTCTGCTCACTCGTGTGGCTTGCTCTCCTCACGCTGCCCATGCCACAGTGGGCTCCCTGGGCTGCTGAGCGCAACCTTCTGGGATGCCACTGTGCTCAGCACTCCCCTGAAAGGCACACTCCTGCTGCTAGGATGTCATGTCTTTCTACACCCTTTGCCTCGCTGCAGCGCAGGCTAGGGATGGCTGACAGAGGATCTAAAGCCTCACATGGCACGTGTTCCCTGTTCTCAACAGGGCTTTGGCTGCCATCTTGTCCCAGGCCCAGCCTCAAGTCCTGCTGGTGCCAACCAGCATCTTTTCTGCCCTCTCCCTGGTGCACAATGCCCTCTCGTACCTGCAACACACACATCTGTGCACAGGAGCACACACACAGGGAGAAGCCCTTAAGTGGCACAGACCAGGCCAACCTCCTGTGTCCTTAGGTGAGAAATGGTGATGATGCCTCCATCATGCAGGGCTGGGACTGGGGTTACTTGGGGGTCATGGTATGCCTAGTCCCCAGTAGGTGTCCAGGATACACCATCTGTTTCTAGAGCTCCCTGCGCTGGGGCTCCACTTGGAACATGGTGTTGACAAAGCAGGATGTCACCAGAGACCTCTGAGCAGCTGCAGCAGCTTAGGGAGCACCTAGGCCTCGGAGTAGAGGCCTCATGCGAGCAGTCCTGCAGCAGCCCCTCCTGGTCCTCTCACCAACATACAGGAGGATGCACACAACTTTGGTGGGGGCCGGAGCAACCGAGGACAAGGGAGGAGAAGGAGGAAGAATGAAGCAGCCCAGAACCCTTAGCCTCCCCTGGGCAGCTGCCTGTCCCTTGGCCGGCCTTACCATCCTGGCTGCAGGCTCCGTACAGCTTGATGACATGCGGGTGGTTGACCTGCTTCAGGAGATTGAATTCTGATAGCAGATCCCGCAGCTCGCTTGGGGAAGCATTCTCTGAAATGCACATAAACACAGCGAGTTGCCAACAAATCCCTTCTGGAAGCCCCCTCTTGTGACCACCCCTGGGTCACCTGATCCACATCATAGGTCTGCACAGACCCTGGTTATCTCCTTGCCTACTTGGTTTTAGACCAGGCCCCCAAGGACCCTGCTGCCTGGGGCTCTTGGGCTTAGGATGGTCAACAGTAGCCTCAAATGCCTCCAGTGAATAATAACCCTGAGGAGCAAACTTCCACATCAGCCAGGTCTTTCTATGGAAACCTTCCCAGGACCGGCTGTGTGTGTAAGTGGTAATATTTCCTTGCAATTGTCATCTTTCAAGGACAGTGGTACACAGACATTGTCCTCATAAATCCTTCTGGGAAGGTAAGAGGACTGTTTCATGTCCTATAACAGCTGCTGACCAAGCACTCAACAGGAGGTGAGGCCCTGGATACAGTTGGAGATTATGGGACTTCACAGAGGTGGCCTCTGCCATGTGCACACGTGCATCCTGAGGGTGAGCAGAGCTGTGCTTGGGCTCCCACGAGGAGCTGAAGCCTAAGGGGAGGGATGTGGGGTCAGAAGCCTTGGCTAAGCAGGCCTCCTGGGGCAGCTGCCCCACAGCTCACTGCCGAGCTGTACCACATCGCCACCTCTAGCCACACGCTTGTCTGGAAATGAGAGGACAGCTGGGAGAGAGGGTGCTGGGCCCCATACATGGTGGCCTGGGGCTGGTCTCAGTGTGCCCCTTAGTGTGTGGGGCTTCAGGGGGGAGCACAGAAAGACACAGTCTGAGGCCTAGGTAAGGATTCAAGCACCTTGCACAGTGTAGCCCTGAGTGCTGCACTAGAATTCTCATGTGCACCTGCCGACTTGTACCCGCTGCAAGGCTACTGGGCCCTTGGTCCATGTGAGCCAGACTCCTGGCATGGCAGAGGGCCATCCACCCAGCCTCTGCTCAGAAACACCAGTGAGTGTGTGTGTATATGGGTGGGTGTGTACCCATTTAGAGCCAGACTTGTGGCACGACCGGTCTCAGAGGCAGGGCACTGGGGGCCACTGGGGATTGGGCCAGGTAGGGCCCCAAGAGACAGGGGCCAAGCCTTACAGGTGGCTTCTTCACCAGGACCACAGGGGCACCTGGTTGAAAGGGATGAATGGGCAGACCGGGATGGAAGAGCTGTCAGTTCAAAACCAAAAGGCCTTTTAATTTTTAAAAAACTCAGATCTATACCCAACATTGGTGCAGAAACAGCACCATTCTAGAACCTTCCCAGTGATGAAAAGTTCTCTTGCCCTGTTTCTCCAGGGACTACCCTGGCCCTTGTTATCTGTGATGGTGCATGGGGGCATCTCCAGAATGCAGCCACTCAAGAATAGCAATGGTGGGGGGGTGTGCTCTTTAGAGGGCCCTAGGCTGGCTGCCACATCATGGTTGTCAGGGTGGCTCCAGAGCCACCTGTGCATACTGCCTGGACAGGTACCTTTCAGCATCTTCACGGCAACGGTCGTGTATCCTGCTTTGCCTTTTAGCCGGAAAGCTGTTGCCTTAACCACTTTTCCAAATTCACCTTCTCCCAGAGTTTTTCCAAGAACTAAGTTCTTCCGAGGGAATTCCCACTTAGGATCCTCCTATGTGGGGTTGGAGGAAAGGGAAGAAGAGGAGAAGGGAGAAAGTTGGTGAGGGTAAGAGGAAAAGAAGAAGACAAGGCTCATAAATGAGTCTCCAATGGACAAGCTCTGGTGTGCAAACTGCCACCTGGACTAGTGGGCAATGGTCATCTACCTGCACTGAGAGTGGGACCCCACAGTTGGGCAGGACCTGTACCTTACGGAGAGATAAACGTTGCCACAGAATGGCCTGGACTCTGGATGCCTGGATCCTTGCTTGTCCCCAGTCTACTGAACATGCCCTTGGCCATCTCGGGCCCATGTCTTCATTTCTCAAACAAGGAGTTTAGGGCTTACTAAGGATGTAGGGGGTGTTCACATAGGAGTGTGGCGTCTTTCCTGGGAGTTGAGCCCAAGCTTCCCGGTACTGTCCACAAGCCACTGATGTCCTACAGACTACGGCCCAATCTGTCCTCTCCAGAGATTCCTAGGACCCTGTTGGCATTAGCAGCCTATGCTGCCTCCCAGAACAGGACCCCTAACTATGGATGGAAGTGTCCTTTTCTGTGTGGTGCCCCAGAAAAGATATCACTAGGGGGGTTGGAAGCCTCCATCCTGACATGTGGAAGAGGCTATTCCTCTCATGGGACTCGCCATTTCCTTGAACCTGCATCCACCTGCTACCATGCTCCCCTCTACCCATCCTGCCTTCCTACTAAAATCCCACTCAAGACTACTGTGGGGGGGGTGCCTGGGTGGCTCAGTCAGTTGGGCATCAGTCAGTTGAGCCTTTGGCTCAGGTTATGATCCCAGGGTCCTGGGATCCAGCCCTGCATCAGAGACTGCTCAGCAGGGATCCTGCCTCTCCGTCTCCCTGCCACTCTGCTTACTTGTTTGTGTGCATGCACAATCTGTCAAATAAATAAATAAAATCTTACAAAAAAAAAAGAAAAGAAAAGACTACTCTGGGACATCTTCCCAGACCCCAGCCTGGCTCCAAATCTTTGAACTCTGACCAGGGAGGCTGAAACCTCCCTTCATGTGCCGGCACTGGGCATCTATTGCCCCAACTCTCCCTGCAGCTGGAGGTGGGTGTGGCCTGGGGGTGCTGCTATGATGCACCCTGCCAGATTCGCCTGACCCCCACAGATGACACCATTGGGTCCTCCGGCCCTGCCAGGCAGAGCCATGTTTTCCAACACCCAAGTATAGCTGTGTTTGCCCTGTGGGCAGAGGTGACCTCCTTTCAGCACTGTATCTAGGGCTCCTGCTGGCCAGCTCCTGGGCATCCTGGTGTTGTCTCGGGTTCTGCAAGAACCCACAGTCAGGAGTGGAGACAACATCATCATTGTTACCCTCGTGTCCTTCCTCCCCATTGCACTGGATAGGCATTCGCTGCATGTGGAAACTGCACTAAGCATGTGTGGATAGCACTGATTTGATTTTCTTTTGGGACATTAAAAATTCTCTCTGCTTTATATAAGAGACAACTAAGATCAAGCAGTTGAGTAATGTGTCCTCAGAGCTGGTCAGTAGGCCCTGGGCTGCAGACTAGGCTCTGGCTTCTCCATGCTGAGGGCCCAAGCTGGCGTAGGCGGAGGGTGGTGTATGTTCACTTGTACAAGCACCTGCCAGCACTGCCCTTCCCGTGTACCTCACTGTACACTGCCTGGGTTTATAAAGGAATCAAGTGGCTCATCCCAGAGGCTGGCTGTGGTGGCAGAGATGCTTTACAGGACAGGGGTCACATCCCATCTGTGTAGCGACGGGAACTAGGAAAGCTAGGAGAGAGGCTGCAGTGTCTGCCACCAGTGGGAATGGCTCCCATGGCCCAGGCCCACACTAAGGGGTGAGCACCCTTGGGTGGCACCTCCAACAAACCTTAGCCACCTCCTAGCCCTGGTTGGATACTGCCAAAGGCCAGTGGGTGGTTCCTGAATTTTCTGCTTGGAGGCTCTAGTCAAGATGCAATGTTCCCTGCCAGGCCTTGGGGGTGGAGCTTCTATTCACATGCACATCTTTTCAGCCCCTCTTAAGAACCTGGTTTCTTGGAGCACTTGGGTGGCTCAATGGTTGAGCTCTGCCTTTGGCTCAGGGTGTGATCCTGGGGTCCTGGGATTGAGTCCTGCATCAGGCTCCCTGCAGGGAACCTGCTTCTCCCTCTGCCTAGGTCTCTGCCTCTCTCTGTGTCTCTCATGAAAAAATAACATTTTTAAAGATTTTAAAAAAGAACCTGGTTTCCAGCTCCTCAGCAGTTGTCAGCAGGGATATGGAAGAAGCAGGGCAGGTTGATGGCAGGCCTAGCAAGGAGGAGGTTCTATGGAGTACCCAGTAACTATGGGCCCAGGACCTCCCATGGAGAGCAGCCAACCTGCTGGCTCTGGCTGGCACTCTCTATCAGGCAGCTGGTTACAGAATCCTGGGGCCTGCCTCCTCCACAGCTGGACCAGAGGCCCCATAGCACCTCTTTTTTCACTCCACAGATGAACTCCCCTCCCCACTGCTGCCACCCTGGTCCAGCCCCTGCCTGCCACCATCTTTTGCCTGGATGAGGAGAGCGCCTCATCATAGGGCTCCCACTTTTGCACCCACCCCATAGATGTTTCCACAGAGCAGCCTGCAGAAATGAAGGCAGAATATAGGCTTCCTTTGCTGAACCCCTAAGCCCCAGGGTCCTATCCTCTGAGAATAAAACCCACAGGCTTCCTCAGGATCTCCGCCCAGTTCTTGGGGCATCCGCAGGACCATGCCCTATCAGGTATGGCAGGCCCACCATCCCAAATCTCAGTCCAACTAAATTAGCACTTATTCTCCACTCTGCTAAACTGCCCCTGTGCCTTTGCAGCCCTCTGCCTGCTGCCCTCCCTGGAAGGCAGCTCCGCGAAGACTGGGGGGGTTGGTCACAGCATCCTCCTGGTGGGTGAGGATGCATTAGCTGCTTCTGGGCTACAGGACATTCAGCATCAGGGTGCCCTGTGCACCCCTCCCCACACCTCCCAGCTTCCCCAGGCCGGAGGGCAGCCCCCTGCAGGGCCGCCAGGAGGGTGGACTCTATGGGCGAGGCCCTGCTCAGAGCCTCACCGGGATCTTGAAGGCATCCACAGAGACCTGGTTCTCCATGGAGTCCAGTGAGGGCCGGCGGGCGCCTGATGAGGAGTAGCTGACTGGGAAGGCCTGGGCGGGCCGGCGGAAGGTCATTTCGGCGGAGGCGATGGGCGGCTTGTGGGCATTCTTGTGGTAGCGGTGGATGCAGAAGGTGGAGAGCAGCATGGAGACGATGAAGGAGAAGAGCACAGCCGCCGCAATCACCGTGCGGCAGAGCTCATCACACAGTGGGTCTGTGGGCAGGGGTGGCTGTGAGGGGCAGCGCTCCGGAAGGGTGCCCCAGGATCCACAGCTGGAAGGCTGCTGTGGCAAACTGAGCAGCTGGCAAGTGCTGCTGGCGTCAGGATGTGAGAGAAATACAGACACTCACACGGCACTGACTATTTGGCGGGGACTGTGCGTTATGTTTGCCCTACAGAGAGTGCTGTCACCCTCCTACAGAAGGGCCAAGAGGTCCAGGGAGTTTAAGCAGCCTGCCTGAGGTCACACAGCAGAGGCAGCATATGCAACGACTGCACCGGCCGTGGAACACTGCACCAAAGCCAGCTGGCCCTGGAGCACTGGTGGGAGGCAGACTCCCTCCTCTGTGTTCCTGATGTCTTTTGTATTTTCTTTATGAAACTGGGAGAGGGAAGGAAAGTGGCTCTGGACCTAGCACCATGCAGCAACAACTCAACTAGGAGAAAAAATCCTTGGGCTCAGTCATGAAAGCTCCCCGGGTGCCCAGGTCCATGCTGCCCACTGTACCTGCTAGCGTGGAAGGAACATCTGCAGGCTTGGGCTGGCAGGGGCGGGGGTTCTGATCTATGGTGCTGGGGCCCAGACAAGGCCCTGGGCAAGGACAATCTGAGCAGATGCCGAATTATTTGGTGGAAGATCTTTCTTTCTTTCTTTCTTTCTTTCTTTCTTTCTTTCTTTCTTTCTTTCTTCTCTCTCTTTCTCTTTCTTTCTTTCTTTCTTTCTTTCTTTCTTTCTTTCTCTCTCTTCTCTCTCTCTTCTCTTTCTTCTCTTTCTTCTCTTTCTTTCTTTCTTTCTTTCTTTCTTTCTTTCTTTCTTTCTTTCTTTCTTTCTTTCTTTCTTTCTTTCGTGGAAGAACTTTCCAGCCCAACCTTAGTCACAGAACTTTGGGCCAGAAGTCACTCTGTAGAGGCTCTGACCTAGACCTGTCTACACAGATTGGGGAATCGAGGCCTAGAGGAAGGAAGAGGGTCTCTTGGGTTTCACCTGCTTTCCTGCAATTTCCTCCCTGGTTCACGGGGGCTCAGGGAGGTGTGGGGAGCCCTGCCCGGCAGCAGTGCCCCCATTACCCACTCACCCTGGCTGTCTTCAGGCTCGCAGAAGCACTTCTTCTCTTCAGGAAAACAGTTGCAGATTCCGAAGCCAGCTTTTATCCCCCAGCGGTCCCCTGGCTCATGCCCACCGATGATGCTGCCACCCCCTGGTGACAGATGCAGCCCACTAAGCCTCCTGGTGTGACTGGACAAACCAGGACCACCCAGGTGGAAGCATGAGAGGTCCCTCCCCACATGATGTCAGCATGCTCAGACTTGGGGAGGGCAGTGAACTCTGAAATCTGGGAAACCTGGGCAGGAATCAGCACAGTCTGCCCCCAGTCCAGGTCCCTGGCACCAGCAGATGGGAGCAGGAACCCACAGGCTGCCCAGGGTCCTTGCTGAGGTTACTTTACAAAAGCACAGAAGGGGCAGCAGGGAGGCAGGAGAATCAGGGGTTAGGAGCTGTACCCACGTCAGCTGGCCAGAGAGACACTGGAGAGTGGGTCAGGGCACCAGTCTCCAGAGTTTTGATGGAGCAGAGCCCTTTATTCCAAGGAAATGTCAGAAAGTCTCGGTATATGAGACTCAGGAATGAGGCTGGTCTGGCTGAAGTAGGGGTGGGAGTCCAAGCCTCTCCCACTGGCTGGCTACCCCTACCCATGCCAGGCCCTTGAACTTGGTGGGCCCAGTGGTTGCTTACGGAGGCAGTCCTGGGGGCAGATGTTGACATTCCTGCTCTCTACAGCATCACAGTGGCCATCAGGGCAGGTCTTGACATTGGGGGAGCAGGTGGAGAAGTTTCTGGTGATCCCTAAAATACACACGGCAGGCCAGTCACTACCATTTGGGAGTACCCGCCTTGGTCAGACTGCCAGAGCCAGAAGGTGGCATCCCAGGGCCTCCCTGGCCAACCCTGACCCCTCCAGAGGAGCGAACTGAGGCCGGAGCAGAGATTCCATAAGTGGGATCCTTGTGGAGGGCACAGTGTGGACCCGGCTGCTGTCTGTGTACCAGTCTTACTGCCTGGGGCCACATGGCCTGGCCTGGGGCCTTCCAGCTAGAGCCTCTCTGTCTCCTGCACATCCCAACTTTGGCTCAGACCTTCCCAAACCCAAAGGGCCCTGCGGTCCCACAATGATGAAGAGCCTGAATGTCCTTGTGCTGCTCATACTCTGCACTCATGCCCACCCTCTCCTTGCATCAGGAACTACAAGTGGGCTCTGGACAACAGAGGTGCAGAAGGGAGGGCCATCATAGCGGCCAGCAGGCCCACATGGACCCCATTTCCACTCAGCCACCATTACCCCTCTCGACTGCCTGGCCATAGGCCTGGCTCTGTGTGGGGCCTACCTTTGCCATCTCCCTGTCTCCACTCGCACCTGCCCGTCAGAGAGCCCAGGCCGCCGCACTCTTCACACTCAGGCCGTCTCTTGCTGACTGCACAGGACAGGGGGCAGCCTGGCTCCTCAGCCACATCTGCAGGTGGCAGAAACTGGTCAGAGGGGGCTGGCCTGGCGCCAGTGTCCAGCCAGCATCCAGGGGCAGAGAGAAGCCTCGGTAGAGCCTTTCTCATGGGTGAGCCCAGAAGGGCAGGAGTGCCTTAGCACTAGGACACAGGGCAGTGATGGGGCCCCTCGAAGAAGAGGGCTGGGACTGCAGTCATGGCAAGGTGGGGTAAGTATGGAGGGAGGATGTGCGGTGGCTAGTGGCTAGACTCAGCCAAAAACACACACGCCAGTTAAACCTGAATTTCAGATAAACACTGAATACTCACTTTGTGTAACTGTGTCTCTAACACCGCATGGACACACTTAGAAGTCTGCCTTCTAAGAGACTCTGCAAAGGTTACGTAGGACATACAACAAAAAATTGCTTGTTCCTTACCTGAAGGTTAAATTTAACCAGGGTCTTGTGCTTTATAAGGCAGCCCTGAAGCAAGTGCATGGACAGAATGCATGGGCAGTGGTGATGGGGAGTAGTGACCATCTACTATGGGGTCACTCTGGGCTACACTGTTTTATCCTCCCAGCCTGGCTATGCAGGGTGCGCTGTTATTCTCACTTTATAGGGAAGGATACTCAGGCAGTCTCAGGGACGTTACCAATAGGCGAAGGGGGACAGGCCTGGCCCCTTCTGTGTGTGAAAAGTCCGTAGTTCTACCACACCCTGCCTGTCCCGACCCTCCATGGGGCCCTGGCACTCACATGTCCCCTCCACGGTGACGACCAGCGGGGCCTGGGTCTGCCTGCGGGTTGGCCGGTCGGCAGCCACCACTGTGTACTGGAGTTGAGAACAATCGAGCCGCTGCAGGGCTTCCGTGTCATTCACATACAGGGTCCCTGTGGTGTCCTCGGTTGACGTGACCACCCCCAGGACGCTGCAGTTGGTGCTGGAGAGCTGCAGCTTGTACTGCACGTGGATGCCACTGAACTCCTGGCAGTTTTCCACACAGACTTTCCCAATCTAGGCATGGGGCACAGGGAATGCCTCAGTTGGGTAGGGCACTGGCCTGTGCTGGTGGCCGGAGGGGCTTCTGGGCAGCCTGAAACCTACCAGGTCCAGGAATGACAAGTCCCTGTATTCCATGCCCCTGGAACTGGCAGACCCATCTACTTGCCTGGCCCTGGTTCCGTCCATCACACCACCGCCCACCCCTGCTCCTGGGAGCCAGAGGTGAAAGGACACGGACTGAGGTTTGGTTTAGAGACTGCCTCAAGAGATGCCCCTTCTCCAGCTCATTCTTTATTCACTCACTTGTTTTGACATGAAGGCTGAGTGGGTCCCTCTTCCTCACCTCCCCTCACCTCTTCTGGCCAGGCCACATTTGTTCTGGGGACCACCAACTGCCACCCTTACTCCAAGTGGCTGGGGTGCTCCACCCCCTGCCCAGGCTACCTGCTGGGGCAGTGAGAGCACTGCACTGGGGGCCACATGATTCATGTACCATAGTTGCCTGTCCTACAGCTCCAGGGGGCCTTCCTGGGACTGTGGCTGGAAGCCCTGGGAAAGACAAGATGCTTCTCCTGGGGATGCTAGGCTGGTAGTACCATTGCTGGGTCCTGGAGCTGGGCAGCTGAAACTCTCCTTTCTATCCTTTGGCCGCTTGAGTTAGAATGAGAGTTTCAGAGGCTTAAACCCAGACTCTGACTAGTTAAGGCTGGGGGGCAGAGGGCAGGGGTGGGGCAGGGTGAGGCTCTGCTTGCAGCCACTTAGCAGGTCCCTGCTCAGCCTTGCTCAGGCCCAGGACAGAGCCATGCTCCTCTATACCCAGGCCTGACTCCACAGCAAAACCACCTCTTGGATGGTGGCTGTCCCAGCACATCCCCATATAAAGTGTACTGGCTTCCACTCCCCCATGTGGTCCTCCAAATTGCCCAGGCCACTATCCTCAATTTACAATCATAAAGCCTGGAGAGGGGGTGAAAGATCACAGTGAGGGTGAGGCTAGATTGGGACTCAGGTCTCTATGATTTTTGAGGGTGTTGGAGTACACGTCTTCTGCAGTGCTTGTTCCCATTCAGTAGCTCCTCGGAGACCCTTCGGGCCCCTCTGCCTTGCCACCTCTCACCATTCTTGACCTCTGCCTCCATAAAAGACCTTGGATGGCAGGTCACGGAGCTGGGACATGTCCAAGGGTGGGGTCCTTTGTGTTTTGGACCTGGGTGGCTGTCAGGGCTGGAAGGGGCACGGGAACCAACCACAGAGACAGGAACAACTGGAAATAGCCCTAAGCAGGACCTTCTGAAGGGGATGTGTCTGAAGCCACTCCATCAGGAAGGAGCAGAAAGTCATATGCATGCTGCAATTCCAAGTAAAATGACAAAAGTCCTTAAGAGAAATATTCTAGAAAGAACTGTATCAAAATGATAAGCACTAGCTGACAGGGTGAGAAGGGATCAGTCCTCTCCGTCCCTTGTCTTCCTTAATGGATACTTATTACTTTATGTTTTTTCCACTTCTCATTGTTTTCCAACGACAAACACAAGACAGGCTCTAGTAAAGGCACTTGCAGCAGGTAAAGTGAAGTGTTCCCAGCCTTTCCCCGCAGAGGGCGCCACTGCTTACTGCCTGCATTTACAGATGTGCAAATTCCATTAATGAAAATTTGGTTTTGAACGTAAGGAGCCACATGAGGCCCGTATTTTTACAAACCACTTTCTGGTTAATAATTTACCAGGAAGATTTAAGTCTACCATATGTAGATCTAGCTGGCATTGCTCTTATGTTAGGACAAAACACGTTTTAAAGATAAGAATGGAAGAGGGCAAAAAGGAGACCCCTGGTGCCCACCACCCCTGCCCAGGACTCTACCAACTCCGCCATAGTCCAGCTTCCCCAGGCCTGTGCCCATGGCTCCCCCTGGGCCACTCTGTGTACTCACTCCAGGGCAGGAGGATTTCTCAACCCCAGCCCTGCTTGCAAACTGTTAAACAGAGTGCCCTCCCATCGGGGGTCCTCTGCCCCTGCAGGCCTCTTCCCAGGCCAGGCATCAGGCTGCAGGCTCACCTGGGCAAAGCGGCGGGCCCGTCTGCTCACAGTGAAGGTGTAGGCGCTGGGTAAGTGCAGGCTGACAGGCAGCACCGTCACGTTGAAGTGGAGCAAGAGGATGCCCTCCCCGGGACCCTGGAAGTCCGAGTCATTGACCAGAACGGCCAGCTGCAGGGAGCGGCTCTCCGAGATGGGGAGGCTCCGGTTGAGAACCAGCCCTGTGGGTGGGAGCACACTGATGACTCCCTAATTGCTGCAGGCCTAGGACCACTGCTCCATGCCACTGCGGGCCTCCTCCCAGCCACATGCCTGGCATGCACACCCATGTGTGCAAACACAGACTTCCACACTTATGCCGTGTGGATAACAGACTTGGCAGGTGGTGTTAAGTTAGAACCACTGTTTAAATGTTGGCCCTGTGCTGAGCTGGAAGCCAAGAGAACCCTTCATAGCTGGGAGGTAACCTGTACATATGTGTGGTATGTAGGTACATGTGTGGTGGGGTGTCTGTGTGCGTTGTGTATAGGGTCTACATGTGTACATGTATACATGGAGTATGTATGTGTGGGGTATAGGCATACACAAGATAAAGATCTACCACCACTGAGGCCCTGGGAAGACTATACTGGCCTCCATTCCTCCAGAGCCTGGAGCCTGCACGTTTCTGTACCTGCTATATGCCATGGCTATGGTCCTAGTTTTGCAGAGACAGAAGGATAGGGGAGGTGTTCGTACACATGCTACATACAGTGAGTGAGCCTGGGCAGGGATAACATCTTCCCTTGTACAGGCAAGGAGACTTTCAAAGGCTCAATGGGGGTGGAGAGGATGAGAAACAAACAGGATAGGTCCAGGCACAAAGGGGTGATGGTACCAGCGGTTCTGGGATCCCTCAGAAGCAGATCTCAAAACAAGGATTCAAGTGCAAGTTGGGTATTTGGAAGGTGATTCTAGAAAAATATGGGCAGCAGGGTGGAGGAGGCAAGGCAGCTGATGAAGGTGCCCCAACCTGCAGGTGAGCACCATGCATCCCTGGAGCTTAGTTCTGTGGTACATTCCAGAAGCCAGATAGGACAATCTTTGTGGAATCCTCTGACTCAAGCACACAGAGCTGCCATTATATACTAACCTACTAATAGAGAACTATGGGGACAAGGGAGAAATAATCCCCAAGCACTTAGGCACCTTGGGGGCCCACAAAGCAGAGGCCAGAGGAAGGCCCCAGGCAATGATGTCTATGTTTGTAGTGGGCAGTGAGCCCTGGCACAGTCAGCATGGGGAAGTCCATCTGCCAGGAGGCAGCTCCAGGAGAGAAGCCTGTAAAAACCCACCAGTGTGGCCAAGGTGAGCCCAGTAAAGACAATGAAGGGCTGGGTAGGGTGGAAGGATCTGTAGCCTGGGGCTCAGAGGGCCAGGACAGGTGTCTGTGTGTGTAGGGTGCTGTTGGAAGAGTGGACTGCCAGTTCCCTAGGGGGCCCAGCCAGGCCATGCCTGGCCCCTCTTACTGTAGTCATGCACAGTTGCCCGCACAAAGCTGCCGTTGGCCTGGACCAAGGTCTCGTTGGGTGAGTGTTCCACACGAAATGTCTGGAGGGCCCAGGCATCCCCAGGGAGTAGTGTACTTGTGTATCGCCTCAGGAGCTCCCCAGATGCTGGTACCACGTCCGCGTCAAAGACATGTATTGTGGCCACCACAGTGCCCTGCAGACAACAGGATGCCAGTCAGAGCTGGTGAGAGGGACCCCTCAGAGACCCTGGAGCCTGAGACTTCAGAAGGGCACATGCCCCACCGGTGGGCCAAGCTATGTAGTCAGAGCCAACTCTAACAACAGACTGACCTATGTTAGAGTTCCTGTGGGGTCCCTTGCAAGTCTGGCCCAGTCACCATCCCTAGGCCACTGTGTCTCATCTGTGCAACAGGTGTGATAGGCATCTACAGACTTCCGGTAGGAAGAGATTTTTTAAAGCAGATGTCCAGGTGCTCTGCTGACAGGCTTTACCAGGTCCCTTAGGAGAACAGTAAGCCAGGCCACCCAGGGTGGGGTTAGCTCTCTGTCACACTGAGATAGTTGGCAGAACTGGAGTCAAGCCCCGGTGTACACCAGAATGTTCTCTTCCAAGTACCTTCCATATACCAGGCTGGAGGGGATCACAAGAAAAGTTGAGCAGTCACAGGGCATATTTGCTTTCGCTGCTAACTAGACTCTGTTGTTACCCCAAGGCAAGCCCTTTCAAGCTTATGGGGTCTTTACCAATGAGCTGTGCTTTCCTCCCGCCAGCCCATCCGCCAAACCAGCACCCGGGGTGCGGGGTGCGTGGAGAGGCAGGTAACACCCAGCTCCCATTGTGCCCCTCGCCGGCCGGCTGCAGGACGCCCAAGGCCCAGCAGGTGGCAGTCACGCTCCACCAGTGTGGACCAGCGCCCGGGCAGGCCGCGGTGGGCGGAGCCGTGCAGGGAGATCCCAGCCAGAACCGCTCAGGAGTCTCTCTCAGACCTCCAGTGAGGGCTGACAGCGGGGGAAGGGAGCGCCCTCCTGGGCAACTGTCCTCTCCCCGCCGCGGGGTAGCACCGCTGTGCCTACCGGCAGCGGCACAGGTGCGCCCCGGTACCTGATGCAAGCGCTTGGCCTTGACAGCCTGGTCAGGCACATGCTAGGCATCCAGGGTCCCCAGACACTGTCATAGGCCAGCGGGGCTGGCCTCCCCTCTCCTCTGCTACCCCCGAGACAGGCAGAAAGCCCCAAGAAAGCCCTGGGCCGGCAAATGAAAGACACATATCTGGAAGGATGGTCAGCCACGTGGCTGGATGGCTAGACGGACGGACCCTGAACAGACCCAGAATAGATGGTGGGCGGAGTGGCAGAGGCCCAACAGATGGACGACAGACAAGACACAAGCACAGGCGAGGCAGACAGGCACCTCCTTCCTCTTGAACTCCACCACGGCGCTGGCAGTGTCGAAGCCCCCGAGGGAGGTGGGCGCCGAGTCGTCCTCGTCATACACGGTCACGGGGAAGGGCACCATCACCACCTCCTCTTTACGCGCAGCGACGCGCACGGTGCACGCGGCCACCAGCTCATACTTCTCCCGCAGCTCACGGTCCAGGGCCCAGCGCGTGCTCACCTCCAGGCTGTCCGGGGCGCAACGGAAGGGCAGATTCTCACCTACACACCAAGCAGACCAGGAACCCCAACATGACTTCCCTCCAGGAATCAGGGTGAGCTAGCTGTCTTTTTCTGGGCCCGCCAGGAGTGGCTGCAGGGGAGGGGGGCTCTGCGGGTCCAAGCTGGGGACCATGCCAGCCCTGCCCTGAGCTCCTCCTCCCCGGCTCCAGATTGGGGGAGGGGCACAGAGCTCCAAGCACCTGTATGCAGTGATGACTGTGCTCTAATGAGCTTTTCCTGTGCCTGCCAGTTTCCCCACCTCCATACTGATGGGGGAGGGGAACACCAGCTCAACCAGGCTGTAGGCCCAGAGATACAGCTCCTAGCACTGGCTGGCTTTTGAAAAAAAAACAGGCGATTTTTAAATTACGGAACTAGTACGTGCTCATTTTAGAGAACATGAGAAATAAAGCCACTATTCCACCATCTGAAAACAAACACGGTGGACTTTTAGTGTGTGACTGGAAGTTAACACACAAATGCTTCCAATTGCCTTCTTTGTACCCCTGCTTTACACCTCCTGGCCGTGTGATCCCAGACTGGTTGTTCCGCCTCTCTGTGCCCCAGTTTCCTCACCAGAAGACACGATAGATGAAGGCTAACATGCCTGCTCCTCACTAGGCACTGCCATATGGTCAGTGATTCGTGTATCTTCCCACAACCTGGTGAGGGGAGGACCAGTCGTGATAGCACACTCTTCAATCCAAGCCTGTCCTGAAATTCATCCTTCAGGAATAACTCATCCTTCAGGAAAAAGGGGGAAATGCTGAAGGCTTGAAGGTCCACACTGACCACCCTCACAGCCAAGCATGCAGGGTTATGTCAGCTCCACTGCATGGGAGAGCAAGCATCCCTCGGTCCCTCACATCAGAGCCACATATTATATGTGAATTACACCTGGGAAATGCTTATCATATGTTTCTCTCTGTTGTTTATGGTTACAAAACACATGCTCAACAAAATTTAATTATGTAATCTTCATGAGGAAGGGCAGCCTGCTAAACCTGATGTGTGGCTGACAACCTTGCACAAAGACATTTAGCCCAGCTGCAGGGCAAATGGAAGGAGGCTGGGGGAGTGGATGGCTCCTTTCCTTACCTTACTGAGATCTGCTTTAACATCATTGCCATGTGTATGCAATTAAACCTGCTGTGAATCCACGTCCCCCGGGCTAGCAGTGTGACTTCTGTGTCCCACCTCCTTGCTTTGGATATTTCGATGGTGCCTCCTGTCATGGATCTGTTCATGTGGCTTCTCTCAACTCCCTCGGGATCTACTGCCTGCTCTCACCTTGGCCAGCCTCCCCAGGGCCATCTTGTGGCCAAGTTGGCTGCCCTTGCAGCTGCTCAGGTGGAATCCTGGAACCACACTGACTCCCCTCTTTCCCTTAACACCCACATCCAACTCATCAAGGAATCATGCTGGATCTTCCTTCAAAACATGCCCAGAAGCCACCTGCTTCTCGCTGCTCTGTGGCTTCCACCCTTCTTCCAGTCTTCATTCTGTTGCTTAGGGATTTCTCAGGTAGTGACCCTGCTTCCACCCTCCCCTGCCCATACGGAATCATTCCTAGCATAGCAGCTGGAATAATCCTTTAGGGGTAAGGCAGGTCTTGTCAGTGCCACCCCCTATAAGCCTTCCATGACTCCCCAGTCCCTCAAGGGGAAATCCTCAGGAACTTCTGTATCTTCATGTGCCTCTACTCTCCCCAGTCCAGCCACACAGTGGCCCCGCCACAGCGATCAAAGGGGCTAGCGCAACTTGCCTGGTGCCCTCCCACCTTGGCTCCAGTGCTCCCTTCCCCAGCCAGGGCACAGAAGACCACAGTCTCCACCACTCCACATTCCTGGAACTTTACTTCCCAACTAGCATGTTCCAGAGATCGCCTCCATTGCCTTGGCATGAGCATGGCCTCCACTTCCCAGGGGTAATGGAGGCTCTAGGCAGGCAAGATTGTGACTTATTTTGTTCACTGTCACATCTTTAGCCCTTAGAACGGTACTTGGTTCATGACAGGCACACAAGAAATATTTCTGGGATATTAAATGAAAGGATGGTGTGGTGGTGAAGAGTATACCAGATGGCTGTCAAGAGCTGGCGGTGCCATACCTGGCACACAGCAGCACCAAGGGTCACTCTGCGAGGTCAGCACTCACCTTCTAGGAGCTTGTAGGACACGCTGATGTTGGGGCAGAGGAACTGCACGGGCAGCAGACGGAATTGGTGGAAGGTGCCGGGAGGCCTGTTCTCTCGAATGCGGAAGGAGACACCAGTCTCAGGGAAGCAGAGCTCCCGGGGTTTGAGGGAACCACAAGCTGGGAAGGAGGTGTTAATGAAGGAGAAGTACACACGGGCACAGCCTGGCCACTGGCACTCGCCCTCACGCAGGGATGCAGATGACAGGAAGACCTGGACGTAGATGGTGAGCACAGGGAAGCCGCCATCTGTAGACAGAGAAGTCAGGCCTGGTGGGGCATCACCATACCAGCAGGGGAGGGGGCAGGAGCTCCAGGGCTGGTGGAAAGTCCAGTCCTCACCCTTGTCCACAGGGCTCCACTGGGCTCTCTACGCTGCCTGGCCACCTCCTGCCTGCCCTGAGCTGCCCTAGACCTGGTGCCTGTCTCTGCTCATGGTCCCATGGTTCTGCTCCCTCTGCCTTGGGTGCCTCACAGGCCTGCCTCTCTTGTCATTCAGGTCTCAGCTCAAATACCACTCCCTCAGGTGCTCTGAGCACTGGGGTCTACTATTCCTCCTATTTCTCCCCACCAGCCTCTACTGCATCATTGCCCCCTCAGAGGGGTGCCCTGAGTCCTGGGTCTAATAGCAGGTGGAGAGCTTTGCCAGGCTGGTTTCTACTTTGCATGCCGCACAGTACTGCATGGGGGGGGGGGGTCTTCACCCTCCCCAACCCTCCCCAAGGGCTTTCCTCATCGGCACCACTGCAGAGACACACCCATAGACAGAGGACAGACTTTCCCAGCACCTGGAGGGGGGAATTTCCAGCAAACTCCATCATGGAGGCTCTTTCTCCAACAAGGTCTGGATCTCTGCCAGAGTGATAAGGACTCTTTCCTGGGTCCTCTCTCTCAGCCCCAGGATAGTGGCCACTCCCCTATGTTTGCACCTCACCCTTCATTCTTACACAGCAGGGATCATACAGGAGCCACCTTCCCGAGCCTCAGTGTGGGTGTGATGTGGGCTGTGAGAGAAGAAGACAGGGTGGGGTCAGGCAGCTTCCTTACTGCGGATGCTGAGCTTCTCCCAGGTGCTGTGATCCAGGCTCTGGTTAAGGTAGAGAAGGCCTGTGTCCTCCTCGATGCGGATCCAGTCGTTCTCATGCAGCCTTGCACGGTAGGCGATGCCGTAAAGGTGCTGGCCTAGGCGGAAGCTAGGCACCTCCTCGGGGATGTCCCGCAGGGCATGGACATAGAGCAGGGGCATGCCAGATGGCTGGCCCACATACAGCTTCTCCCAATAAGCATCCCTGGAGAAGTAGAGTCCCAGTGGAGCTGCAGAAAGCAGGGAAGCATGTGAGGGAGGGAGTGGTGATGACAATATCCAGAGCAGACCTCCCAGGCAGACCAGCACTCTCTAGCAGCTTTAGTTCACACTTTGATAAAAGGTTCTCTATGGACCAAAAATTTTACTAACTAAAATTCCAATCTAGCATAAGTAATAGTTTATAAGCAAAACTGTGTGTAAGTTAGGAGTCTCCTCATTCTGAAATTATAGGAAAGAGATCTCAGCCTCCAGAATTTATAGAATTAAAGGCTTTCATACAGAAATACAGAAATAAATAAAATTCTGATCTTCGTAGGACTTTCTCACCTATAATCCTAACATCAACACACAAACAACTATCTGTGTAGCTAAACACAAGCTGAAAGTGGATTGCTGAAAACAGATAAAGGGAGAAGGAGGCAGTATAAAACCACTATAAAATCATTCTCAATTATCCAAGTTTGATAAAAGCTGGGAGTTTACCCTGGTTTCTCACCAAATCACCTGAACCCAAGGTTTTCAAGTGTACACGAGGATGCCAGACAAGCAGGGCAGGCAACAATCACCTAAAATGAACCAGGACACCTTATTCATTCATTCATTTATAAGATTTAATAATTTTAGAGAGACAGCGTGCACATGCAAGTGTATGCATATTGGGGGAGGGGCAGAGAGAGAGAATCTTCAAGCAGTTTTCCCCACTGTGCTTGGAGCCTGTAGTCGGGCTTGATCTCATCACCTATGAGATCATAACCTGAGCCAAAACCAAGAGCCAGACACTTGATCAACTGGGCCACCTAGGTGTCCCTGGACCCGGGCGCTTTATAAGAGAAACAAATCTTTATCTAAAGTTAAACACTCCTACCGTTTGACCCAGAAATCCCACTGAATTTATCCAAGAGAAATGAAAACATATGTCCATTAAATGACCTATTCACAAACGGCAGGGTTATTCACACAGTCAAGAACTGGCAACAGCCCAGATGCCCTTCAGCAGGTCAGTGGATATGCAAAGTGTAGTTTTCACACCACGGAATCCTATGCAGCAATAAAAAAAGGTGAACTACTGATACACACAACAACCTGGAAAGATATGTAAGACATCATGCCAAAGAGAAGAAGCCAGGCACAAAAGAACACACATGGCATGATTCTAACTAATTTTAGGTAACAGAAAGTAGACTGGCTACCTTTTAGGGGTGGGAGGAGGCAAAGGGCTGGAAAGGGCAGAAAGGAACATTCTGGGGAATGTAGGTCCCACGTCCTGATAGCAGTGTGGGTCTTAGCTGACAATGTACAGCTAAGGGTTGTGCATTTCAACTTAGGTACATTTTCCCTAAAAACCCGATCACCAAGGGACTGTGGGTAGAGAGAGCCATGGTTGCCTCAAGGGAGAGGATGTTGAACATGGCCTTGCTGGGTAAGCTCATGTAGGACCTCACTACTCTGCTGACTTTGTGTAAGATCAACATTTCTCATATTAAAAAGTTTTTAAAAATAGAATTTCCAATTAGGATAAATAGACGAACAATGCTTGAAAACCACTAAAACCCTGCAAATACTCTATAATGCATAGAAAGTACCCAATACACAATGCAAACATTAGAACTACCTGTGGATTTGCTCTCGTGTAGCCAATTTATCTTTTCAATAAACTTGTTTCTACCTAGACCCCACTCTTCTCATAGCTGTTGGGGTTAGCAGCCAGGCCAGTTTGCACCAACAGAGGACACTCCCAGCACCACTTGGGGCCCCAAGGACACATTTGGGTATGGGGAATCAAGTGCCAAGTGGAATCAGGTGAAGACACCAAGTAATCCCTTTCCAGGTCCCCAGACATGATAAAACAATAAGCAAACAGGAAGGCTGCCTGCACTGTAGAATGTTTTCCAGGATGACTTCAAAAGGCAGCCAAGGCTGCGAGTACCAACTTGGGGGGAAGCGTGCATTTGGCCCCACCTGCTCCCTGCCAGACAGGCCTGGACTGGGAAGGAGCGAGAGGGAGAGAGGGAGAAGGAAGCGGGGAAGAGAAGGAGAGAGAGAAGAGAGGGAGAAAGGGAGAGAAGGGAGATAGATGCTCTGGCCAGAGCCAAGGGCATGAACCCCACACTAACCACAGAGATGGAGAGAAGTGGGGTGGAGGCACGACAACATTCATAGAGTGGCCTTTCAGACCTTCTCTAGGAGAGGTCTTCTTGGAGTGGGACCTAGAATTACTTGGTCCCTATGGGTGCAGTTCAGAGAGGCCCTCCGAGGAGCCTGCCCTGTGCTCTGAGCTAAGGTTTCTTGGGGGAAGGATCTACTCCAAAGTGTCACATTGGCTGCCATTCAAGGGGGAGGCAACTTATGGAGCGCCATGAAGTCACACTGGGGAGGGAGTGCTGAGACCATGCTTCCCCCACCCTGGGGTCTCACCAGCAGACACTATGGGCAGGAGCTAGCTTGAATGCCACCTGAATCTCCCCACATCCCCACTGGCCAGGAGGACACAGGTTCTCAGATGCACTCAGGGCTGACCTCCTTGGGATTCAGTGGCTGCCAGGTAACAGGGACAGGAGGGCAGCTCAGAGAGCTGTAATGGCTGCTGAAGACACGAGCACAAGGCTGAGCTGAGTGATGGGCCATGGCTGATAGGTCCTTGGAGGGTCCCTGCACAGGTAGGATCCCTTCCAGAGGCTTGCATGTCCCACGAGAGGCATTCACACACCTCACAGAGTGGAGCCCTAAAGGGGACCCTACTGACTCATCAAGTCATGGCTCAGACAAAGACAGAAATGCTCCCTGTGTGTGAGGAGCCACCCACAGGGAGGGGACAGTGGTAGAGGAGTCCCAGATGGGGCTTGGCAGCCACCTCCCACCAGGAGTGTGCCAGAGCCTGCTCTGTGCTGCCTGGCAGGGTGACTCCTGGCTTGTGCTCCTCAGCGGGGCCATCCAGTCTCCCCCACAGAAATCTGATATTATAGGGGCTCCCAACCCATGGCAGCATTCCAGCACGGCCGAGTCCTGGAAGGCAGGTTCAGAAGGGGAATCAGAGCCACGCACAGCACTGCTGCTCCACAACAGGGGACTGGATCATGAGCAGCAGCCAGCTAGGCTTCCTTGCCATCCAACATTCCATGAAGGTTCCACAAGTCAGAGCATCCAGCAGGAGCTCAAAGTGAGGGCTGGGGCAGGGGGTGTTAGGGGTGTTAGGGAAGGTGATATTCACTGCCCCACGGACAGAAAGAATGACTCTCTTCCCCCCACAACCTTCTGAAGATGCTGGCCCCCTGCAGGCTGCTGCTGCCTCTCAAAGGTGGAGTGTAGGGTGAGCACAACCTGGCTGGATGGCTCTGGGAGGCAACACAGGACAAGGCTAATCCTCCATGCATACATGTTGACCTTTCATCCTCTCCACAGCTCCAGACAGACAGTGTCAGGACCACTGCTTCCCAAACAGACAATGTGCTCTCCCGTCTCCCACCCCTCCCACCAGCCCACAGACTGCCCTCTGCCATCCCCAGTGCAAGCTGCCATGCTCCCACACCTCCCTCAAGTGGATGATGCCACACTGCTCAAGGGGCCTTCCTGACTGAGCCCACTCTTAACCCAAGGCCACATGTACAGAGTAACCAAGGTCAGTCGGATCATGTTACTCTCTGCTTGAAGCCCTGTATTAACTGCCCATAGCTTGTAGAATAAAACAGAGCTTCTTACCAGGGATGAGGCCCCAACTGTCCTCCCCCCAACTCACCTCCTCCCCACTCTCTCGAGCACCCGCCTTCTAGGAATATCAGCCAATTCACTATATATGAGCTGAAAGAACAGACAAATGAGTGAACCAGTGAAGGCAATAATGAAGGAGCAAACCAATATATACATGGTTTCACAAAGGGAGAGGAATCTGGGGACTTTTGGGAAATGGTACAAATTTGGGAAGAGGGAGAGGGTGTAGCTAAGATACCCTGGCTGGGTCTGATGGGCACTGGGAGCCACAGGTGCAGAGTCAGCAGCAGGGATGAGCTGGAAGAGCCACCTGGATGCTCCTCCTATGCTCACAAGACTCATAAGGGACATGTGGTGCCCTCTAGTGCACTAGCCATCTTGGTGGGGCCAGTGGTGGGTGCTGAGCAAAGAGCCACCAGGCTGACAACAAAACCTCTGATGCCTGCTCAGGAAATGACTTACTGGTGACTGAGGAATACTGCCAACTGGAGATGGTGGACAGAATGTGTGTGCTCACTTACACACACACATGCATGTGGGCTCACTCTGCAATCACTATGCTTTGTCTCAGTAGGAGGTTCTGCTTTTACAAAGGATTATAATGTACAGATCAAATTTGCAAATCAAATTTATAAATAACAGGTTTGGGAAGCATACAAGGGAATCCCAGTTTTTACAATTAATTGTGGTAAAATACACATAAAATTAATCATCTTAATTACTTAATTATTTTAATGTCCCAACAAGGACATCAGTCACCATTACAGCAGTGCAGCTTCAGTTCCAGTCTTCCACTCATTCCCAAAATGCTGCCAGCAGCATGCAGTGGGCAGCCTGTGCCACCATGGCCACAAGGTTGGGTGGCCATCCTGGTGTGGGCTGGGCACACAGCAAGGGCAAACTGGATAGGCCATCACACAAGGAGGGGCAGGTGGGCATCCCGGCACATATTGGGTGCCTGAATTTCTCATGATGAGCTCTGGGGCTCTGTTCCCAAAGGTTCTCTCTGGCACAGACCCCAGGGCTCCTGCCTGCCTGGCCAGGGGCACACACAGCTCTCAAGGCCCACCACATCCCTCCCTCCTGCCTCAGTCCTCACTGTGTGGTTCATGGCAGGGAAGGGCAGGGAGCCCAATGTGGGGTGAACTATATCCCCGGACACCTGTCCTGTTGGGCCCTGACTGTAAAAGGTGGCTGGTAGCCTGGGTGAGCAGCTGGATGGAGGAAGAGAGACCTGGAAGCCAGCCCTTGCCTCAGAGATGCCACTCTGCACACAAAGGCACACCCCACTACCTTTGTGAAA